GGTTGAAAGAATGACGGTGCCTGAAGAGTGAGTACAATATCGAAAGTCATTTTTTGTTCAACGTAGCGTGTATGTATTTCTCGCGCGCTATTTTATTTCTTTTTGTAGAAAATAAACGGTTGAAATAACGGCGATTGCGTCGAGGAGGAAAAAGAAAAACGCTCTGGACGCTTTGAACGAACGCCGCGATTCAAAAAACTTTAACGGGAACACGGCAACTGTCTAATTGTAATAATGATGTAAGAGAAAACTTGGAGCTCTCCCATTCAAGAAAAAAATACTTGAGAACAAGCGATACTCGAGACGAAAACGTTTGGAAAAACAGACGTGCGTTCTCGAAAACGAAGCGGGAGTTCGATTGCTTCCCCCCCCTTCAAACAGATCTCGTGACATTAGAAAAACAAATCTACGGAAAGAGATACGCGGACAATGTAGAGAAACGCATCAAGTACACGTTTCTGCTTTTTTTTAAAATTTTTTAACTTAATTTACAGTAACGTTAATTGTACACATAAATATCTACTTGGAACACACAAACGATACCTGTGAAAAATGTTGGTCAGTTTGCGAAACGCGTGTTTGAACGAGCTTTCGTAGATGCGCACTCATCATTGTTCGACGTCCCGCGCTTGTGATGTTGTTCTTTCATCGTTCATGTAGCGTTTAATAAAGAGCGAAGGGTTATTAACGTTCACTACGCGGTGTGTGAAAAACAATGCCTTGTGTGTTCCCCCAGTTTACCGATCAATTTTTTTCCTGTGCGACAAACTGGATAATATTCTTCAAAAGCACAAACGGTTTTCCTCACCGGCAATTAGTCATTTGGCATGGTTCGGAGGCGAGGAACGAAGAAAAAATGTGATGAGTCACGTGTTGCTTCGCACAAGGCGTTTCTCTCTCTCGCGGAAACAAATTTTTACACCCGACTGTACACACACACGCTCATCTCCTCCGCGCGCGCGGGGCATTATGCATTTGCGCTTTGAATGCTTTATGACGTTGACACTCGAGAGGTCAGTACTCCACGCTCCACGAGTGGGAGAGGGTGTGAGTACTACGTGATTACATTAGGGAATGCATTTGAGGATTGTAATTCTATAAGTCGTGTGTGAAATATGCGATGTGTATGTGTGTGGGTGTATTGTATTGCGCGATTTTCACTTTCGTAGCAAAAATCTCTCGAGTATACTTCTCGCGTTACACTTCTACGCTCGTGACTTCCACGCGCGCGAACGTTTACCTTCACACATACTTTAGCGTATGAGTCACCGCAAATTTGGGTTCATCTGAGAAAGTTGTAATCGGCGGTGTAAAAAAAAAAAAAAAAAATGGGATAACGTGTCGCGTCGCTGTATGCGAAGTTGTGCGATTCGTTTTGCGGATAAAGAAAGAGAAAGAATATTTTGCGTAATCTTTATATAATACAACATTCCGAGATCGTTCCGATCGTGAGTTTTCAGCGAGAAGCTGACACGGTGAACGCTTGGGGAGGGGGAGGGAAAAAAAGGTGCAGACTGTGCACGCTTTTAAGATATTAACACCAGAAGGACATCGCTCGGAAGGTGACGGGAGAGGCGATAGGAATGTTTAGCACGTGATTGTCTCTCGAAGGTAGCTTCATTGCGAGGGCACGCCGAGCTCGGTTGTAGAGAGAAAGAGAGAAGAAGGGATGGGAAGTACTACATACGTGTGCGCGTGCGTGTATGTGTGTGTGTAGACGCTTATTTGATTATATTTTAATCCCTTCGTAACTAGTTAATGTACTGCATATCTTATGCGAACAAGGCAACTGCAACCTAGAAACGATTTTGAACAACATGTAAAAAAGCGCTGGTTTTTAAATATATATCTTAAAAACAATTGCAGGAATTAATTTTAACAATATTAAGTTATTTGTTAATTGTTTGATATGTTTCGCAATTTGGTATCTCACATGTTGTTGTTTATTTTTCAGAATGGCAACGGAAGTAGCGAACAAGAAGGCAGAGCGGGAGGCTCTCAGAGGAGTCATACAGCAGTGGAATGCCAATCGTTTAGACCTGTTCGAACTGTCGGAACCGAACGAAGTGAGTATCGTGAACTTATTGCGAACGCGCGCTTCGTAACGCGTAGTATGGTAAAATTTCAAATTTAACACACATTCCATTCCCCATGATCAAAGATGTGTAATATTTGTTAGATCAATGTTTTTTACGAGAACGCGTGTCTAAATAGAAAATTACACATCGACGTTAAATTAAGTGCAACATTACTTAGTTGTAAATTATTCTTTATGTGACGTTCTTCTAGGACTTGGAGTTTCATGGCGTCATGAGATTCTACTTCCAAGACAGTGGTCAGAAGGTTGCCACAAAATGTATCAGGGTCGCTTCGGATGCAACCAGCCAGGCAGTGATAGAAACGCTTATAGAGAAATTTCGTCCCGACATGAGAATGTTATCCGTCCCGGAATATGCTCTTTACGAGATCCATGAAAATGGAGGTGAGTTGCATCGAAGTTTTTTTTTTTTTTTTTTACATACAAATTAATAAATTTGTTTATTTTTTTAATTAGAGAGCTATGCCTTGAGTAATTATAACTCTTCAACGATTTTCGTAAATTGTGTTACTAAAATAAAACTTCCACTTCTCGTTTATAGAAGAGCGCAAGCTTCGCTTGGACGAAAAACCGCTGATGGTTCAATTAAATTGGCACATAGACGATCGCGAGGGACGCTTCCTGCTGAAGAGAATCGATGACAAGACCAATGCACAGGGCGTCGGTTTTACTGGATCAGCCGACGGATCTAGTTTTCGAAGAAAGCTGAGCAAGCGAGAAAAAAAACAGATTAAGAAGCAGGAGAAGCTCAGTCGACTGAAGAGCTTGGAACAAGACGAGAACACCGCGCCTGGCGATCAAAATGGCGTTGCCGAAAAGCTTTACACCGGTTAGCAAAATCTTATATTTTCAGATATTTTGTTTATAAAGATGATATTAAATCAAAATCTTGTGTAAAAGATACGTATCTAAGATATACATGTTTAAAAAAATATTTTGCACGTTACTATGTGCATATTTATTTTGTTTCTTCTGCATAAGATACAATTATCTTTGCTTTATTATTAGCATATTAAGATACAATTATCTTTGATTTATTATTAGCATTGTAATATAAGCGATAAAAGTAAAATACTTTTTTTTGCACCTACGCCCACGTTGTTTTCTCACTTTAATGAGAACGTTATCGCTTTCAGAACTACCGGAGACCAGTTTCACGAGGAGTATTTCAAATCCAGAAGCGGTGATGAGGCGCCGTCGTCAACAAAAGCTTGAGAAGAAGCTTCAGCAGTTTCGCAGCAAAGACGGCGGCCCCGACACGGGCGGTACATTGAAAATTTATGGCGAGGCGTTGTGCAAAGACGTGCCATACAAGACACTGTTGCTGAGCGTGCGTGATTCTGCCGCACAAGTCGTGCGGGAGATGCTCTCCAAATATGGTCTAGAAAAAGTGGATCCGCAGCTATATTGCCTCGTGCAGGTTAGCATATATCCACAGGAGATCATGATTCACCTGTGAATAAAGTACAACGATAATCGATGTATCTAGTCTTACAAGTTTACTTATTTGACACGAACTTTGATTCGACATTACAATTCGATGAAAAATTTGTGATTATAAAAAATAAAGAGATTGCAGAGAATATTTTGAGAATGTATTTAACGACGGAAAAGATTTACGTGTATCAAAAGAATCCGATTTTACATGTTTATTTTAATTAAAATGTTTAGAAATTACATAAAAATAGTAGGCGTGGGTTTTTACAAAAAGAACAGAATGTATAAATCCTTTATTTTTGATCTTAATATAGGTCAATGGTGAAAACGTGGGCGGAACTGCACATCAGGAGTATATATTGGACGACGACGAGTGTCCTTTAGCGATATTAATGAATCATCCTTCTACGCGAGGTAAGATCTTTTTCACATTTTATATCAGTGCTACAGGATCGCACAGTTGTGCAGTCGTAATCCTTCTAACGGAGTTTGCTTTCATATTTTACTCCAATCAATTTTAAAGAACGTCATTGACGGATTAAACATGATAATTTTAATAACTCGATTAAATGGCTCTAAACATTTATTTTACACTTTATTTCTGTATGGTGAAAAATAAGAGGAGAATTTTTCAATATATTGCTTTATGGATCAAGCACGTAATTACGTGCACGTGCAGTAATTTGTTTTATAGTTTTATACAAACAGTAAACTTATCTGTAAACAAAAGAAAGGTTCGTGTAACTTCTCAGGATTAATTCTTGCACAAGTTGAAAGCTTTAAAAATTTATATACAACAAAATTAAATAACTACACTGATAAAAAAAATATTTTATTTTATCGTATAAAAAAAAATGTCAAGTACGTATTTAAAAACATTTTACACACGAATAACAAAAATATTTAAACGAAAGAGTTTTCAAATTGTTACGTGTTTGGTCAAACAATATTGATTAAAAATATAAGTTATTAAAAATGGTTGCATAATCAATTGCAAAAGAATTGACAAGAGTCACATTCATGGTAAAGAAGAATATAAAATAAAAAAATTAAACTAAAGAGATCAATACTTGTAAGAACGAATAGAACGAATAATTCTTGAAAGAACGGAGAAAAGAAGTGATTTAACGAGCCAGATTAATTATAAGCATAGAGAAGAAAAAGAATTTGAGACTGGAAAGAGAAACCGATGTATTACGTCAGAGAAGAAATTAAATTGATAAGGTTTCTCCGAGAGAAGAGGTTTAATACAAGTTGATAAGAACAGAAGAAGATTCAACAAAAGAATGGCGGAAGAAGGGAGAGGAACAGAGTCGGATAGATAGTAATCGAAGGGGGATGCAAGGGTGGCAAGGAGAACAACCGATGCCAACATTGCCTCAGTTGGCTCGCTGTCGTCAGTACCGGCGCCAGTGCGCGGGCGCCGCCGACGCACCGTTTTATCGTCGTTGTCGTCTTGGACATCGACATTTCTGGCGAAATTATTCGTGACTTCCGAGATAATTGGCATTTCGGCCAGAAATTGCACAACGAGTCAAGCTGTCGTTAATTCCACAAACAACGAAATTTACAATTGTTTCAACCGCGATCTCTTATTATATAAAATCTAGCCGTGCTATTCCCTTTATTTACATAAAACATATATATTTGTACACGTATTAATTTACATCTCACAATCAAGAGTTTGCGTATTTCAATATACAAATATTGCAAACACATCGAATTTGGGAATTTTTGTTCCATTTTCGGATAATGCACGTGTGCTCGTTCGAAATAATTCTTCTACGAAGACGATTGTCATCTAATTTAATGATCTGCTGTAATGTGGACAGATGTCTATAGATGCGCCGTTCGTTGCAAAAATATCCGATTCAAAATATTAATAGCCAACGACGAGAACTCGGTTGATTTGTCGTCAAAAGAGTGAGTGCGGGAAAAAAAAAATTTACAAGCGATAAAACTGAATCCACCCACTTGTGCGCGGTTATAATATCCCCGTGATCAGCCGAAGGAGTGAATAGCCGTTACATACGCGCATAATGCGACGCCAAACATCCAAGGCGTGGCGTTATCGAACTCGATTAGCTCATCATTGACGTATTGAAGGCAGTTCGTAGTAGCGAAAGTGGATCCACCCACTCATATGGTTCTTGTAATACTGCGTAATCTGTATACACAGGCGTAATTCGTTGGTACAATTATCTATATGCGTGAATATCATGACCGACGCACACTTGATTGGTTCGTAAATATACTGAGACTTTTACCAAAGGGAATTTAATCCCGGTAAAAGTGAATATTCTATCTGTGACCTTACCTGTACATCTAGATCGTCTATACACTTGTCGCAATATAATGTAAAAAAAAAAAAAAAAAAAAACCTACACGTCTCACGCACAAACATAAGATCAAATTGATTGAAATCGTTGATATTCGTAATTGAACGTAATAGAACTTGATGTCAAGCGCGCGATGCTTCATTCATTTTATTTATTTTTCGCAAAAAGAAATAAAACAGCAATTACGCGCACTTACAACCGCAGTGCGAGAATATTTCTATTAAACGGTGCAAAAGAATTCAAATTGAGATTACACCGTCAACGTGTAATGACCAAAGGACATGCATAATATGTTAAACAGAGGGAACGGGAGTTGTTTTGATCAATAAGATAGCGATCGTGACCGTGCCCTACATTTTAACACGAGTTCACTTGAACGAAGTCGATTTACACATAAACGCGAGGCGGCTATTTGTCATCATCGAGAAATAACTTCTCCAACGAAACATTAGTGATTATTGCTTTGCTGGAATTTTGAGACAACGATTTTTCATGTGATCCATTATCGGCTCTATTTGTGAATTATTATTACATGTGAACTATCCGTGAGTAATTTCCGTAAGTGAATCATCACACGGTAAATGTCATACAAAGGATAACAAGAAAAAACTAATTCGAAAACACATCATCAACTATGATCAACGACGTACTGTGATCGACACGTTGCACATCTGTATCTTAAGTTATAAATATATGTAGTTCAAGTTAGTCGGAATTAAAAGAGAAAGGATTGAGATTGCTCTATGAAGCAAATTTAATTACATGTCAATGCGCATCAATACTCTCTGAGAGAACTAGCTGACAAGTTTTGTGCTCGACGTTCTTGTGGGACCAGGAAATTTTCAAGATTCAGGAAGAAGAACTGAACAACGAAGGAAGGGAAACAAAAGAAGGGACCAAATATTAATAGCAGCAGCAATAATTGACGAAGGGACCACGAAGTTTTATTAGATAAGACGGTCGACATGATGGATTGGGGAATACGACGTAAGCTATTATTAAAGCTGGCAGACGCATCTCGTGCATGACGCATTAGTTGAACTTTTTCTTTTTTAGCGAAACATATGTGATTCATGTGTTAATGCAAAGCTTTTGATGATGATGTTTATTGAATCTTATTCATACATTTAAATGTCCTCAATGTTTATGGCAATATTGAGAACCTTTCACAATTAATGTTTTAGCTGGAATGTGTTTTTCCCATTTTATTTGACTTCCGCAGAATATGTGTCCTTTCTTCGACTGTATATTTGTCTGCTTTTTATTGAAGAAGTACGACCCCGAAAGCAAAGACAGTTTACATTTCGTTACGTATGCCAACTGTTTTGCATTAGTGAATTTCCCAATGATTGTCAAGAATTAGTCTTTCGTCTTGTTTGTGCATGCATATTTTTTACATATCGTATAAACAGTATGTATACAATGTCAAATATAACGTCCAAAATATAATTTTGAAAGATATCAAACTTTAGTTAAAAAAAAAAAAAACAATTTTTAGAGTTTCCGATTAATTTCGAAAAAATTTAATTTTATCATTTGTTCGCTTCACTACTTTTCAACATCTTGTGGCAACTAAAACTTTTTTTTGCAATAACACGCACGTGAAAAAAAATTTTTTAAGTAAAAATTTGAAGTAAATATTTTTTATACAGATTTTATTTTCTCTAAAAATGTAAAAATTAGTCTTAACATACATATTGTGTGCGCGTGTGTGTAAAAAACAAACAACTAGACTTGTTAAGAAGTAAAAGGAACAAAGAAAACGGAAGACTTGAGAAATGAAAGCACTGGTGATCTTTTGTAATTGTTTGTGTGTATGTGTGTGTGTGCGCGCACGCACGCACGCACGCATTGCACATTTCACGACGTCAAATGACAAAAGGCAAGTCAACGCGGCGGTCAGAGCGATACGATATACGACTTGGTGCACGTCGGAATTGGGTGCGCGGAAAATCAATAAAACGCCGGAACGGTCTGCGTTATATGTCGACCTACATTCAAGCACTACCGCGTGCTACCTTCATTTCCTCTAAAAATACCTTCGGTAGTTTCTCCTTTCTCTATGTCCGGTAGTAATCGCACTCCGATCCCGACTGTTTCGACACATGCCGCATCTAGACGAGGCGTAATTTCTAGCTTTCCTGATTACCAGCGTGAAGATGATGACCGACAACATCTTGCGCGACTGGAACATCCGGATCGAGTGGTGCAGTCGAATCTCTCTCGTTAAAAAGCTTATACTTTACACAGAGTGTTCGAAGATTAGTTTTGAGAATTAACTTATGCAATTAGGTTTTTCTTTTATGTTTTTACTTGAAGAATCTTGCATATTCATGTTAAGAATCGAAATAGAAAATTCAATACGCAATTTTATCTTATTTTAAATACACATGTCGCATTTACACACACACACAAAATTCGTAAGTCAAATCGCTTTTTTATATATATATATATATATATTCGATAGAGAACGCAAAGTATTGAGAATTTAATGCATTGTATATTTGTGCGTATCTCTCTCTAATTGTAAAAGTATGTGTCTCGTCTGTACAACGTAGATATTTCCCCGATAATCAAGTTAAACACTACGAGAATCTTGTTATTTGATTTACCGTGCGTACTGAATATTACATATTGACACGAAACATCCATTATCAGTCTGTATTGATTAAATCGATACGGAATAGTTTTAACTCACCATTTACATGGACAATGTTAGCGTCGCAAAAACTTTGCGTGAAAACAAGGCGGTAATTTTTAAAAAATTTTCTCGATAAAGACAAAGAAGCAATTAACAGCATCGGGGAAAGACATCAAGCGCAAAATAAATTTTCGACCAATTTAATAAGATCGTGTTATTGAGCGCGTCTCGGTACGTATAGAAGAGATAGAAAAATTGCCGTTGGAGATCTCTGAGCGATTGCCGGCCTCAAGCGGTCGGATTCGGTCTGTCCGTCCTACACTTGAGCATATATTTACGCATGTATTATCTTGCTTTCGACTCTATCTCTTTCTCTTTTTCTCTTGTTCGTTTCATTACTTATTCATCCTTCAAGTGTTCGCCTTTTAAAAAGCCTTGTTCATCTTGTTTGTCCACTTTCACATATACACGTGTGCGCCAAGATCCACTATTAATTGCAAAAGGGACGATGTCTTCATCTGTTTCTCATGAAAAATTAATCGTCACATGAATCCCTCACGGCGTAATGCGAAAGTTAATAAATAATTTTGCAGCGAATAAATGGGTAATAAAACTGCTATAGTTCCGTATAGTGCAAAGGACGCTCCTCATCACGCTTGCGCCTACGTATATACGGGGGGGTCTCTCACGTGCGCCCTATACCTACCTACTCTTCTTCTGTGTATGTATACTTCGTGTATTGCGGAGGAAGAGAACGAAAGTAACAAGAAGTTACACACTAGTGTTGTTTTAACGGGCGAACCGCTTGCAGAGAAGCGTGTCCGCTCCGCGCGCGTCCAGACCATCAAAGGTGTTCACGTTCGCTTTCGTGTAAAATAAAATTGTCCCGCGCGACGACGCCTATACGAATACGTAAATTACGTTCGCGCGTTTCTCCCGTTTATTTCTGTCATTTGTTGGTATTTGCGCAATATTTTTTTTTATGATCGATAAAAAGTGTCGGTGTTTATCTGCAACAACGGTGTATAATTTGTTTATTCATAAACAAATGCGTACGCGCTGAATTTACAGATAAAATAATCTTATAATTAAAAAAAAGCTAAAAACAATAATTTTATTCAAAAATATATATACACAAAATACACTTATTACTAGGATAATTAATTAATTTTCAGCATACGCGCGCGCGCGCAAACGCTCTTAATTATGTTATCGTTGATCTCAATGAACTTCGGTCTACTTTAATACACTCTGGGTTTTTTATTTTTCGATTAAGTCTTAATTTTTTTTCTTCTGAGTGATTTTCGAGCTATTCTCCGGTTGAATTATTTCTCGTTCTTCACAAAAATTTATGAAAAATTCGAATTAATATTTAATCGATCAAGTTGCAAATTAGCGAGAATCGAGCGAATGTTGTTCGATTCAGTTCGAAAAGGCTTTGTTGCGATTTTGAACACAAGATCTTTTGCATTACTTGAATTGTTTTTTTTTTTTTTTTTTTTTTTTTTTTTTTTTCTAACATTTAGTTGTGCCTGGTTTCTATTTGCACAAGGTTTTTATAACACACAACAGACACGTAACTGACATTACGTGTGTTTTTGATATCTAAAAATCTTCGGTTTTCACATTTCAACATCGCGATGAACATTCGCATAACGTCGAGCACAAACAGAGAAAACCACATATACGTGTAAGTTGCAACAGGTGCAATCTAATGATATGTGCACACGGCGTTTTTTCTCGAAGGATTTTATGTAGCGCCGATAAAAATTATATCCTAATCGATTGTTGCAATGTGAAAAAAAAAAAAAACAACAAACATATTTATGTCTTAATCGTTAAATCGGTTTATTACAAATTGCTCGTTTCTGGTTACTGATGCAACAGCTTTCGAATTTTTTATGATTTTTGCAATCGTTTTTAATCTTGCAATCTGAAATATCGACAACAACATTTTCCAATAAGAGAGAGTTTTCTCTTGCGGAAACTCGTTTTAATTAATATATAAACACAATATCGTTAATTTAGGATTTTTAAGAGCCAATAGTGAAGAATCGCCGCGCGGTAACGCTGTGGGATTGAAAGTTTGTTCCTTTCAAATCAAATTTACATGACGAAAAAAATTGTTTCAACAACAAGTAAAACGTATTGAAAAAAAAAAAAAAAATCTAATCTAACAGACGCCGTTTGCTGCAAATTGAGTGTGTTACGAGACTGTGTGCAGCAAGTCGCGCGCGTTGTGAATAAAACTCCTTTTTTTTTTTTCGCGAAACGCAATTTACGTTATGATTGAGTAAATCGCCGTGATCCTGCAATTAGAGGTGTTACATGATTGGACTTTGGCCGTTCAAACCACGCCGAAGCGGCAAGGTGGAAATAATGTTGGGTGAGTGCTCGAGTGTGTTTTGAGAGAAATTTTCTTTCTCATAGACATTGAATGCATCACAAAAAAAATCACAAGCCAGAGTTTAGAGATCCAAAATTTCTTCCAAATGTCGAACGAAATAATAAACGTCTTAAATAATTAAATAATGAATCATATGTAGATCTGTGAAATCTTTGATAATCGCCGTCGAAAATGCGAAAAAAAAACAGCGAGCACAGTCGTTTTGTAAGAAACATAATGAAAACATCGACGACGATGACGACGACGACGACGACGACGACGACGACGACGAGTGCAACGACTGTGCTACGCGCTGACCCGCGAAGCCAAGAGTCATTCTCCCTTTCGTCCTCTTCCGTGAGAAACCACCGTGCTTTCGAGCACACACGTGCGTTGCGTTGAGTTGCGTTGTGCGTAGTAAGGGAACAAACGCGGGGCAACGTGTAGAACGCGAGAAAAACGCACGATCACTATCTCAGTCCATCATACTAATTCGACGATTTATCGCAAAGCTTCTCATGCGTGATTATTATATGCCACGCATCTTTGAAGGTGAACGACGAGCATTTGTGTGAGTGATCGAGCTACCTCTTTTCAAGGCTATACCCGCTCGCTTTTCCCATCGCTCAATCTTCCTCGATGGAAGTTTCACAAAAGTTCACCCCGGAAAGTTACTTGATTTACAATAATCCGCTGTTTTTAGTTTTGTGTAAATTTTTTGTGATGTACATGTTATTTTTGTTCTTCTTCCGAAGGCTTTGAGATAATTTTAGATGACAGTTTTTTTTTTTGCGTGTTTGACGCTCGCCATTAGTTTTGCGAAAATTTCTCCGATGGGAGAGACGAGCTAGAAATGTCTGTGCTGCATTCGTAACAACGAATTCTTGAAATCTATATATATCTTGTTGTATATTGAATTATATATTTATATATATTTCTTACATACGTTTCTGTGTATTTCTACAATTTTTATAATTTATATACGTATATATATATATATGTGTGTACAAAATATAGCAAATATTTTTGGATATTTTTTTCTACTTGATCAGGCAAAATCAAATAAAATAATTCCGTAATGGTGTTTTTCATTGCAGGTTCCATTATGTTTCACGTGAGACGGAGGCCCGCGGATTACATGCCTCGAAAACGCAAAAAGAAACCCGCTGGAAAATGGAATGAACTGGATCACAGGTGTGCAGAATGTGTTTTAGAAGAAATTTTATATAAATAAATATTTAAAAAAAATTATGTAATTGTTAAAATAATATTGGAACCTCGTCTTTTTATTTTATAGGTACGAGGACGAGAGGCTACCGTTCCTGTTGGAGCTTAATCCTGACGGCAGCGATATTCCTAACGGCGCGGGAGTGCGACATCGATTACAGCCGAATGTCACGGAAGTGGGATCGGAAAGACCGATAGGACCGCAAGCGGTACAAGCGCAGACACTTACGTTACCGGGACCGACGGTGATGCCGAGGCATTGCGTAATAGCCTTCACCGAGAATATCGTTACCCTCACACCGTGTTCTCGAGATGCGCACACCTACGTCAATAACCAGAGGATACACCAGACTACCATACTTCAGGTTGGTTTCCTCGATTTTCGCGAAAACAGTACGCTTGAATCTGGATTTTATACGTGCACTTATATTATTTTTTTTTAAACAAGCAGAAATTTGTGAAATAGAAGCGTGTAAAAAATAAGAATTTCAATTTTGTTGTTATCTCAGGCAATGAATAGATAAAACTTCGATGAGAAACAATGAGCTTCAAGATGTTGTGTGTTTTAGAATGGGGCTATTATCAAATTCGGCAGGATGCACACTTTTCGATTTATTGACCCCGCACCGGAGGATCGCATCAGACAAAGACACGATTCCGCCAAGCAGATCGACTATGCTTACGATCGGTAAGAGCTCACAACTTGTATCCATTTTTTTCTTTGCTACACTCAGGTAAGAATAGATGATGCACGAATGTTGTCCATTTTTGTTGCGCACGAAATTACTCGTTTCTTCACACTACTTTCGGAAATTACGGCACACGTTAATTTCAAAATATCAGATATTTTCATTGCTACATTGTGATTTTAGTTGATTTATTATCAAAGTCCATGTCAAATCGACAATAAGTTACGTTCAGTTTCTTTTTTTTTTTTGCGTCGTTTTATTTATATTTATTTCGCTCGATTTGGTTTGTATTTGTGTTTGTTCGTTCCGTCGTTTTGTAATATTCGCTTTGCACGCACATCACGATAGACGCTCACCAGACGCTAACAGCCAGGACGTCGGCTCAGAAAAGTTTCTCTCGGGTTCCGGGACTCCGAACGGCGGCAATCAGACTCCGGGTCAAACCCAAGAACGAACAACCCCGTCGAGTCCCTCAAAATCCGCCACCGCGGCTCGTAGTCCTCGTAGTCCCACGCACCCGCCAGAGCCCACGCACAATTACGAGACCACATTCGACCTGGATGGCAATGTAGAGACTGCCAGTTTGAGCAGTAGCAGAGACGGCAACAGGTAGCAGCTCGTGCTGACAAATCTATGACAGTTTATTTCTTTGTATTGTACAAAACGGGAACCTTAGAAATTATATTGATGTATATTTACTATATGATTGTATTTATAGCAGAAAACCCTTATGTCACAAGTAGATCATTGGCTAGAATCAATCAATTATAAACCACAAAGTCTTTACCAACATTATACTATGTAAAAATTAGTTTTCTTTAATTTTAGTAAAAAAAAAAAATCAAGTAAGAAAGTTCGATCTAACTTGATCATCTTATCTTTTCTAAGTTTTCTTTGTTTCTTCGAACAGTATTCTTGAGAAGATTTAGTCAGTTGGATCTCTCACAAGGGAAAAAAATCAATATTTGTGGATGTTGACAGGCTTTCACAGTACGATCGGCAACCGAGAGGCACAGACCCGATTCTGCCGGCTGTCTTGGAGTTTCTCGAAGAAACGGAGGAGACGTTCCTTCACGCTGTCATCACTGACGTGGAGCCCTCGGCGCCACAGTTCAAACTTGCACCAACTTACACTCTTTACTTGAGTGCGAGATATCGCGCTAGCACTCACTACAGACCGGAATTACAACCTACGGAGAGAGCACATCGACTCACAATCATGCTGGCGAATGTCGCCACCATGATCCAACGCGTTATCCAGGTATTTCACTTGTGTAATAGAAGTTCATTTAAATTTTAAAACTATTTTGGAGCTTTGTATGTGTGTGTGTGTGTGTGTGTGTATGTGTGTAATTTGATACAATGGTATCATGCGCGTATACATGAATAACAGAGTTTTTAACGGTACTTCTTTAGGAACGTTACATGGACACTTCCTCGTTAGCCTTTTGGTTAGCGAACGGTTCGGAACTGCTGCACATGTTGAAGAGTGACAGGCACGTGGGTGCATTTTCCACACGAGCACAGGACATTTTGACGGATGCGGTGCACACGGCCTTCGGCTCACTGGTGCGCTGTGTTACGCTGGAGCTCACGCCTGCAATGACGCAGTTTATGGCGGATGCGGACGAGCCAGCGAAAGAGGCTGGAGTGTTGCAGATCTTCTCGAACACCATGGCGCTGCTGCGAAGGTGTCGGGTGAACGCAGCGTTGACCATACAACTGTTCAGTCATCTGTTTCACGCGATTAACGCCACAGCTTTCAATACGCTCGTTTCCAACGGAAATCTCTGCGTCAGATGGTTCGGACGCAGACTAAAAACGAGATTGAACGCCCTGGAGACGTGGGCCGAACGACAAGGCCTGGAACTAGCCAGTCAATGTCATTTGGCCACGATTATGCAGGCGACTCATTTGCTGCAGGCTCCCAAGTATAATGCCGAGGAACTGGCCACGCTCAGTTCAACCTGCTTTAAATTAAATTCTCTGCAAGTGAGGGCGTTGTTACAAAAATATCAACCGGCCGCGGATGAGCCCAGGCTACCCGCCGAGTTGATCGAGAACGTTGTGAGAGTGAGTACACTTCTAGGACCATCATTATCTTTATGTAGCATGTGTCGAGCTGTTTTTTACAATCGATCGCGTATCACAGGTGGCGGAAAGTGTCGCGGATACACTTGCACGCGCAGACGGGCGCGAAATAAGGCTGGAAGAAGAACCCATCTTGGGACTAGCGTTGCTACTTCCAGAGGACGGCTACAGTTGTGAGGTAATTAGAGGCGTTCCACCGGGACTAGCGGAGTTTCTGGCACCTCTGCAGCGAGACGGATTGTGTCGAATGGCGGCGCAACCAACCAGCAGTGGTTATTGGACTATTTACATGATAGATCATAATAACGTAAGCTGGAAATTCGTAAGATTTGAAAAAATTGTGATCCGATAAATGTCATTTTTAGTATCTCATAAAAAATAGCAAATATGAATTTGTATACGCGTTATTACAAAGTTTTCTTCTTGCTTATTCTAGATGCGTAGTCCCAGCGCGATGAGCAACAGGTCAGGTGGTTACACTAGCCACGCTAATCAAAATCAAGCTCAACCAGAGATACATGTCATCAAATTGCACAAGAGCACGAATGGCATGGGTTTGAGCATTGTTGCGGCAAAGGTGTGTTCATTTTCACTATACAATTTCATTTATATCAGTTCATCAGTATATTTTTATTATTCCGTTGTGTACAAAATGTGTGTAATAAATTTAATGCACATATAGGGTGCAGGACAAGATCGATTAGGTATCTACATTAAAAGTGTTGTCGCTGGTGGTGCCGCTGATGTTGTAAGTATAGTTTTTTAACTTCCGTTTCTTATCAACTTGAATAGGTAACTACTTTTATTTATATTCGTTTATAGGATGGTAGATTGACAGCAGGCGATCAACTGCTCAAGGTGGACGGTCAAAGTCTTGTTGGAATCACACAAGAGAAGTACGTTATAAACTCGTTCAAAAGTTCTTAATAAATATCGTAAAACAGAAAAAACAGTGATGACGAATGTTGCACAATTTTGCAAAAATTTCGCAGGGCTGCTGAGTATCTCGTGCGTACCGGTCCGATTGTAACATTGGAAGTCGCGAAACAAGGTGCTATATATCACGGCCTCGCAACGTTATTATCACAACCTTCTCCTGTGATGACTAGAGGTAAGTGAAAAAGCAATAATTCATAAAGCCAATTTAGTTCTTGAAATAAGACAAAGATCATCAAGACAATCTTGTAATCGTTCTATCCCGTTAGCGTGTTTTAATTGATGAAATTTCTAAGAAGAAAATATATTCACATGACAGCATAAAACATTTCATTTTTTTAATTCTCGGAAAAAGTATGAATAATTCATTTACATTGGCAATGATATTGGCATTTAAGTATTTTAGTTTTACAAGACATTTTATAAAGTAATTGTATAACATTGTAGTTAAATTATAAATTGATTCTAAAATAACTCTTTTTCAATAATCTTTTCGCGCTCTCTCATCAATTTCTTGCTTCAAGCGCACGTGTCACCAAAAGACACCTTTTCTGTAATAGACGTCTTCTGTAATACTGGCCGAGTTTATCGCTGGTGAACGTTTTCTAATCCGAGTAACCGCTTTGTCACAAAATAACGCCTTTCTTCCACTTTGCTTCGCCTGAAAAGAGGACTCGCTTTTACTAATGCTTGACTAACCAATTGTTTCGTACAGCATATAATTCTCGACCGAGGTATGATCACTCAGAGCCAACGTTAGGAGCAGCGGAGATGGTCGGTAATCATCGAGCCACGTCCCACTCGCTAGGCGACTTATTATCTCTCCCGAAGCAGGCGGCATATCAGGATTTACCTCAGCCAGGTGCGCTTCCGTCTCAATGCGTTGTCGATACATCGTTTTATCGTAATCAGATTGACCGAAGTGTTCCACGAGCCGACTCGAACCCTTTCGCGCGGCAAGATCCGTTTTCTGCTTTTCAACAAAGCGACGCGTATCCCACTGTTTATTCTGTCGATGGATTTCGCGGCGCCGTCGACGAGAGAGAATACATTTGTCGTCCTTCCACTCCCATCGTTTCTCCCGTACGTCTACCGAGACCGCGTATGCCCTGTCCAATGATCTCCATTACAAGCGAAAACGACAAATCGTCTATTTTATATCAAGACGACAGCGACGAGAGCAGCGATAAGATCATGGAAGAAGAAGAAGATAATATCAAACAAAATGAGATCGGGATGAATAATTTTCCCGAGTCCAGTTATTCGGTGGACAATTTAAATTCGTTCGAAAGGATCACTCCGCCGCAGGAATATGCGGAAGCTGCGGAGGATTACAAGCACTCGTTGACCTTCGATAAGAATGTTTTCGATACCATACCCTACATCGATGACACCAATGTCGTGGAATCTTCCGAACGCAGAATTCAGGCAGAGTTAAATAACAGATGCTGCGATAAAGTTGATCACAACTGCAGCTCCAGTATTAGAAAATTTCATCTGGATCTAGATTGCAATAGTCATCGAAATTTTCCAAAATCCAGCGAATTAAATACGCGCACCGATTCGAATTTTTTGTCGATCGATACTTATTGGCCGAATAAATCGATGTCCGTGAAAAATGCCATGATTGACTCGAGTTCCGCCACGGAATCTGATTTGGACGACTCTTCGTGCCTTCGAAATACGGACAGTAGCGCAACGCGCGCGTTAAATCTCGACGAACGATACGAGACTAAGTTAGATGACACTTTCTACTTGGACGATTGCGCGGACGAGTCTAGTTCTACAATTAACGATGACTGCGCGTCGAGCAGAACCGAGGGAGAAGAAGGTGTTTCGATTTCGAAGATGTCGGCTATAATGCCGGAGTTGCATCTCGATCTGAGCGGATTGAACAGCGACGACGTGTCCAGCGACGAGTCGAAGACGGAGAAGTGTTGGAAATCACCGGAGGAGGTGCGTTTGGGAAGCGGCAGAGTCGCCGCGCTGGCTAAACACTTCTCGAAACTCGGTGACGCCGGTTTGATCAGGTTCAAGTCTACGAAGCTGAGTGATTCCCGTCAATTTGTGTCGGAACCGAACATTATGGCACCCGAGGAAAACGAAGAGCACTTTCACCGACACTGTCACGCGCAGAAGGAATACAGATCGGACTCGGATCTGACGGTTAAAGAGACGGACGAAAACTCGCAACTCACGTCGGCCGGAAAACGCAGCAGTGTCATCTTACTCGATCTTGAAACCGACGGCAATTTTGTCATCGAGAAATGTAGATTTCATCGTTGCGGTGCCAAACACGTTACTGTCGCCAAAGTACCTTCAATGAACGACGTTATCAAAGGTAAATGTAAGATTATGAAACTTGACTCCAAGAACAACGTAGCCTCGATGGATGCCGAAGACACATCGGACAGTGATAGCAAAAATCAAAAAATTCTCGACATCAAAGAGAACGCAACTCTCGACGAAACTTCTACGAAAAATGAAGATTGCGACACAGCGAGCGTCAGTGGCAAATCTCAACTTGATGCAATCGAAGTTGGCGTTGTCAGCAACAAGCTTTCCTTGGAACAACAGCAAATTATCGCGGAACAACTCGAACAGTTCTCGAATCTAGATAATACCAATGCGCCGCTGTTTATACCGGAACGAAGTGTCGAGCAAATTTCTTCCTTCTCGAAGAGCGAAATGAACGGCGGCGTGTCTGCTCTTCGGGACTCGAGTTTCGCGGATCGATCTGCGTCTCCAGAAAAACTAACGTCGATCGATACGGACAGCAGCTCGCAAAAACCCAAGCAAGCTTCTGATTCCTTATCTTCACCTTCCGTTTGTTTCCCTTTGTCGTCTCGCTCTTCCGTTGTGCTGTCGCTTTCAAATGTAACAAGAAATTCTCTGCCGCTGGAAGACGTCAAGTCTTCGCAAACTCATCAATGCTGCGAGAAACGTCCCAAATCCTGCCTATTCATAGACGTATCTCGTTCTTCCACTAAGAATTGCCCAGGAAAGAAGATTTCTTTGATTTCCCGTCCTTCAAACAATTTCTCGATTCTTCCGTCGCGTGTCGGCGCGTGTTCGCAAGCAGGAGGTAGTGAACACAACAAACTGAACGTTCTGCGTTTACACGTCGCCAGACAAATCTGCGGCAGCGAGGATAATCTGATCGGCGTTGCGATTTGCGATCACGAAGAGACCGAGAGAATCGCGGATCAACACGGAAGATCCGTCAAATTGACGCGTAGTTGCGAAAGTGTTCTAAACAATTACCTGTTCGATTCTGTCGATCGAACGCGAAATATTCACGGAAATCTTAATCGTAAAGAGACCGCGTCGCTTCGTAATTCTTACAACGACGACAAAAGACGATGGTACCGTTCCCTCGAAGAGCTAAAATCAAAGGCGAGATCGAAGAAACGAAACAATTCGATCGATCTTCCCTCGACTCAGAACGTTCAGGTTCAAACGAACTGTGAACAATTCTCCGACGACAAATTGGATTCCGATAACGAAGGGAAGGTGCAACGGAATCGTTGTCGATCGCTCGAGGAATTGAAATCGGAGACAGAATCAACGCGTCAACAACGCGATAGTCGGAAGATTCCGATTTCAAATAAGACTAAAGATCAAGTACAAAAATTCAATCAGGTGTCGAAAGACAGACTGCGCGTCAAGTGCGCGAACGATGATCGGAAAGAAAGCGCTTCCGAATTATCGCGCGAAAGCGAGACGAAAGACGGGGAACGGCAAAAGTGGAAAGTAAAACGGAGATCTCAGAATGAGATGGACATTTTGAAAAGGAAGTCTGATACGGAGAAGGACGGCTGGAGCTTCCGCGAGATCAGCCTGTTGACAGACCGGTCTGCTAGCTCGCGTAAGCCAAACTGGCATGTGTCATGCAATTTAGTCGAATGTTTCTTTTATCAAGCACTGCCTGAATATAATTATGTGTAAAAAAGCAAACAAACAAACAAAATCGACGTTTGCAGACGGATCAATGTCGCACGATTTATTTGATTACGTTTCCGTTTTCCACGTTTCCTCTGTGTTTTTTTTTTTTTTTTTTTTTATCTATTTGTTACCCACATGTTTACTTATAATACGACCATCAACATCCCAATGACGCTTGGCAAAAACCCCACTTCCGTGTACAAAAGCCCTTGTAACATATACGCCTTTGCTTTGTGCACTAATGAAATTCAATTGCGGCAGTTTCTGCAAGTCGTAAGATACGGCACGAAAGTATAAAGTTTTTTTCATACGACGATATAAATGTTACTTCTGATCTTCTCTCAATAATATACGAGCATGATATGTTAATGAAAATTTTCAGAAGATAGCTTTTTTTTTTTTGTTGTTTTTAAATACTGTGTTCTTCTTAGAAGAATTATGTTTATAGCAAATTATTCTCATTATGCACGTACGCATAGTTGAAACACACATTGAATCACATGAAATTAAATGAATCACATATCATTGCAAACATATCCGCACGATGATATACGTTTAAATGTTACATTATTTTTTTTACTGTTATACCTGCAGCACACAAGTGATGTTCCTGCAAAAAATTCATAACGTTCTTTGTAGACAAAAACTTCGTTCAAATCATTTTAGTACATCAACGCAACTAGAATTTATTTTTTTTTTTTGTTACTCGAACATGTGAAAGACACGTTAGATGTTTATAACGTCGACTTAAAGTGTAGCTTCAACACGTCCAACTGTCATCACACAGTTGACCGTATGACATTTTCGGTTTGCTGCTTTTGACGTTGAAATTGATACGTGTGTATACATATATATATATATTTTGCAACTATCGCGCTTCAAACTTGAATGTTTTTTTTCTTCAAAAAAAGATCGTTTCACTCTGGACGAGTGCTTTGCGTATGTGCATGAATGATCATTTTAATATTTTGCCTCGGCACTTTTGTGTGTTCACCAATGCATTAACTCAAAGCTGTCTCTTTATGTATCCCGCTTGGGCTACCTCAGGTCCTCGTCGCATGAGTGAGCGGGATCTACCGTCGCGGCTTGGACATGACGCCACTCCTCAACAAATCCACAGCAGCAAATCTGTACCGGCATTGCATAGTAAGTAAGGAATGAGCTTTGTGCGCGCACACATCATACCTGAAATCATTCAGCTTGATCGAATTTTACTAGACTAGAGTGATAAGGCGATTGGGTTCAAATGAGAGCCCATCAGGACGATTTTAAGAACAAGATAGACATATTTTGATAGAAGTATCTGAGCGATGATACATCACTTCGTACACGTTGTGATAAAAAAATCAAATTTATTTAGATATGGGCACCGAGGCCAAGCAACAGCATGAAGTGTTCAATCCTGGATACAGCAGAGCTTCTTCCAGTAATAGCGTCACGCCTCCTGTTCAACCACCTCCCATGGCGACGATCAACAGTGCAACTTCTTTGCGTTCAAGGTAAATTTGTGTCTTTGATTTTTTCTAGTTGGGGTTACGGATAGTTCGCGTTATTTGTAAAATCAATGCCTTCTTGCGCACACAGGTCGAGTCACAACTTACATGATCCCATGAGAGTTGGAACTTTACCACCCACTGGCATGGTCAGCAGGCAGCAATCATCACCTAACTTAAACCCCAATACATCGCATATGAATATACCGTCCAACGTGCAAAATACGGAAGTAGAGAGGTTTTACCAGAATTTGAGTATTTATCGCAGTCAAGATTCAACGGGGAAGCAAATAAGTCCGCAACAAATGGATGACAGGTGAAGCATTCTGCTTGAAACAATATTGAGAAATTAATTTTTTCTCAACAGTTTCAACTGCAACTTCTCTTAGGTGGCGAAATTTTTACATAGCTCCGTTCTCTTACAGAAACCCACAGCACGTTCAAAAGAGTTCTCTGAGAGGATCACAGAACTCGCTGAACCGGCCGTCTGCTCTGGAAGTTAGTCACATCCGAGACCGTCCGACGTCCGCGTACGTCACTCAAGCTCAGCAACAGAGCTACTCGACGATCAGCAATCAGATGCAGCAACAAGGTGGGCCACCGCCACGTTCTCAATCTTCGCGCGACATAATTCGCCAAGAGGCGAAGATGCAAGAGATGCAGGAGGAAGTTCGAAGACGAGAATTGCGCGGGGGAGCGCCGATTCATCAACATAGACCGCCGATGGCGTACAATATTAATGCTCGAGGAGAGGCACCTCCTGGTCAACAAATGGCAAATGTTCGTCCTCCAAGACCACTCGGTTCCACGTCGAATTTGGGTACAACCGCCGGTTACGCAACCACCGCGAGACAAACTACATCTGGCTACAATTATCCGGAAGCACAGCACGCATCGTACAACAACACCCAACACAATCAGTACGGTCAATACGGTCAGTATCCCAATCGGTACCCGATGACCGGAAGTCAATATGGCCCGATGATGACTAAGTCGAAAAGCGAAACTATCGCTCGCGGTCATCAGCCGATGCCAAATGAAAATCTACTCGGCAGAGTAGATACGAACAACCAGGAAGCGAAATCGTACGGTGACCAGAACCGACACTTTGCCCAAAACAGTCCGCATTACCCCAACGGTAACTTGGAACAGCATGTCGATCAGTACACGAACGACAATGTTGTCGGTCGTACGCAAAACGAAGAGAATCATCCTATAACGACATCAGAATCGCTACCATCGAGACCGACTCTACCCTCTGAAGACACGTTTAGCGAGAGTCCTCCGCCACCGCCACCAAACACTTCGACACATCCTCTGTATAACAAGCAAGCTGACACAAGGTGCGTATTTTGATTCGTTTCGGAAGTGATTTTTTTTTTTGTGTTGTAATCGTAATTTGACAAAAATTTTTGATCGCGATTCTATATGTAACAGTAAAATATCTTCTTTCTTTCTTTCAGGTACACCGCAAGCATGCAAGATCTACCACGCGGTAGTTATTACCCTGCGGGAGGAATCAATGTCATGCAACAACCACGTCAGTATCAGTATAGCGCGACTAATCCTTGGCAACGAGAAGAAAGGGAAAAGGTGCCAGAATTTAGTAGCAATAAACACAGACGTTAATATCAGTCAGTTATATCAACAATTTGTTCAATATAAAACTACTTTCAGGAACAAGCTCGTAGAAGAGAAGCCGCTCGACAATGGCGAGATCAACAGATTGCCGAGCTAAGTGCGTTGGCGCATCGAACGCAGCAACAGGAAGAACAGTTGCGGGCACTTCAATTGGAAAGAGATTTTCAAAAGCGAGCTGAAGAAGCTGCCAATCAAGATGATGATGAGGAGAGCAATGACTTGGACAATGAGAGTACGCAGCGTGTTCAGGGATTACTGAGAATGGCAGCCAATCAAGAGAGAGCCGCTCAACAGCAGTTCTCGATTTTGTCGAGAACAAACGCAGGCAATCAGTCTCTGAGAAGTAACCTGCAGTCTGTTGGCGGCCAATCTACGACAACTGGCCACGCTCACAATCCGCCTAATCAAGCGGTACCTCAAACCGCAGGGATGAGCGGACAGGAGAATAGCGGCTTGCACATGCAACCAAATCAACAGCAGCAATCAGCGAGCCAAAGCGAAGAGCAGATGCATGTTTCGTCCAATTACGGAACGCCTCTCACTCATTTCGGTTCCGGTCAAAAGTCTTATTCGGCAGGTATATCACACTCCGCAGAGGACAGGGAATTGCAGCGGAGAATAGACGAGGTGAAACGAAAACAAGCCGAACTCGAGGAGAGCCAGAAGAAGCAGGAGGAGCATCAGCTCCACTCGCAGCAGCAAACGTATCAGCAGAGCCAGCAGTTGCGAACTCAGCAACCACTGCATCCTGGCATGCTGCGCTTGGACAATTTAATCATTAATGGACCTATGTGTGAGTGAATATTTCTTTAAGAAAAAATTTATTTTAAAACAATTTTGTGATCAAAAGTTTTAATTATTTGTTGCATTTAAGAAAGGAATTGTATTAAAGATACTTTTACTTTCTACAGCTTCGCAAAATAATGTGAACGACGCACCTCCACCACCAGAGCGAGGTTCGAGTTATGCCGTAATGTCTCAGCAAAGCGCTCTCAGATCGAACGGCTCCACTGCATCAAACCTACCTCTTGTGTCTCAGCCAGCATCAATGAAAAGAGTTTCTTTTCATGATTCGAATGCAAATAGCGAGTCTATGCTGCGCAATATACCAACCGGAACATCAAACTCACTGTCAATGTCAATGGACACTATCAGGGAGGATCCAAATGTAAGTTACTTTTCTTATATCTTTTATATCTAGTTATCTTTTTATTATCCACGCTTTTTACTGTAATTGTTTTATTCTGTATTTTATTTTAGAAAAATTGTCTTTAAATTTTCCTTTTTATGCTATATTTTATATTTGTATAAATAAATTCTACATTTGTATTATTTGTGTTATTTTTCATGTTTCTTTCAGAGAAAGTATTAAACTACATTATTTGAAAACTTATGTAGATTTTGTTTCTGATGTTTTAATAGAGTAAAGAGTCTGTAGTTTGAACAATTGAACAAAAAATTAAAGTTGGCCCCATAAACATTAACTTCTATCGCAAATAAATTCATATAAATATTTTGTCGAAATGCATACGTTTGGCAGATAAACAAGTAAGGTATAATTTTCAAAACAGATTGTTGCTATATTGTGTTATCTGTTATTATGATGTCTGCGTTGAACGACATGCATGTACTGTTTGTTATAACGATTATCATCTAGTAATACTATATACATATATATATCCTATTCGAATATAATTCATTATCATAATAGATGTGTTTTATTCATATCTCATTTCGTACGGTATACACATTCGTGTTTCATGTTGCATACGATTGATGCTAGTTGTCATCGTCGCTTGACTCGCATAATATAATGACCGCTTACGGAAACAGTTGCATATCTGTTAAAACAACTATTAACGCGTATGGAAATTGAGTTTATCTTTTGTGGCAAGAATTTAAGACGGGACCGCACTATATATATATATATATATACGTACATCATATTTATTGAGATTTATACGTACAATTTATTGTTTGATTGTGATTTCAGAATTTTATCACCGACGCGGAGAATCTGTTAGCGTCTCCCAAGACGCCGGAAGGATCCAGCACTTCGTTTACTGGCACTACTCCTGGAGTGATCGGAGCTCAAGAAGTGTACAAGTAAGTAGAGCCCGCCGGCGTTTCGCATTTAAAATTAAAGAATTGCGTAATTTTGTTTTTTTTTACCGCGACGTGAGCGCAAACTGAACTGTGTTTGCTTTGCTCCGAAGGGACCCGAGACAAAAACGGCTGGCGGAGAAGCAGAAACAGCAACAGAACTCGCAGATTGGCGCGGTGCCAGAAAAACTCAGTTTCAAGGAGAAGATGAAAATGTTCGCAATGGAAACCGGTGAGGACGGCACGCCGAGGGACAAGGTAAAGATCTCGCGCGCTCAGCGCGAAATCGACAACATCGGCAGCCCGCTCAATTCCAATAATAACAATAACAACAACAACAACAACAACAACAACAACAATACCACTAGCGGCAATAACACCAACAACAATAGGACCTAAATTCTCGATATTTTTTATTCGGAAACTTCAGCGAATAGAAGAGATATTTGTATACAAACGTCTTGTTTTTTAATCGTTCGGATGAAAAAATTTCTCCGAAATATCTAGGATGGTTGGGGAAAAGTCACAATTGTGACTCGCACAAATCGAAGGATCGTGAATAATAAGTAACAAAGGTGTAACCGGTGAGGTTTTTAAAACTGGCTTTTTAAAAAAATATATATATATATCTATATATATATACACCGATATGCCATCGTATGCATATATATATATATATATATGTATATATACATACAAAGCGCTCTGAACTACACGGTGAACATCACTAAGGAGCAGTATTGCGCATACTATGCTATAAATTTATAGAAAATATATAGAGAAACGAATAAATTCGTCCATGCGCAGCTATTTCATTGAAAGGCTGTTATTGATAAGGAGCAAACGCCTCCATTTACATGTATGTGTGAAAAGTACATTTATATCTTTATCCAATGAGAGTATATAATAATAATAATAATGATACATTTAAATTTTTATCTTATATATATATACATGTATGCTTTTTTCGAGCATCCTAGATACTTTGTCGTAGATTTTCTGTCTGCATATAGTTGTGTAAAACATCATCCATACGCGATAAATTAGTTTCATAATGATGTATTACGTACGTAAAAAAAAAAAAAAAAAAAAAAAAAAAAAAACAAACAACAAAAAAACGGATTGCTTCGTTCGGAATGAACTTTTACTTAGTCGCCGATTCACACAGCGTTAAAGTACAAACGAAAAATCTTGTATAGCTCTTTGACCAAAAAATAACGTGTTCGTTCTGAGAGAAGAAGGACCATTAAAAATAATAACCGTAATAGTAACGTATTACAGACGTATTGTTATTGTCGAGAAAAAGAAGCGATTTTTTCGGCTGTTCTCGTGTACAACACGTTCTATATTCCTAACTATTTCCGGACCAATATAATTTTATTGTAATAAACGAACTGATATATTTCTCTCTCTGTGGAGATCTAGTAGACAGAGTAGGGTGAAGCTCGCGAGAGGACTGAGTTAGAGACACGGACATTGTTTCGCGAGGGAGAAGCGTGTAAATGTAAATAAAAAAATAAAAAAATAAAAAAAAAAGGAAGAAGAACAGTAGGCCGGGCAGCATAATTTATCCCATATACGCATTAGTTTTATATTTAAATTCTCGGCAGCGAAGGAAGATTCTGATATATATTTAAATTATACGACCACATATACACACTTACGCCATTATGCACTTAACAGAATAAATAAACAGTAATGATCGTAGTTTGTTAAAAAAAAAAAAAGAAGAAAGAACAAAAAATAAAAAGAAAGAGAAAACACGCGTGTATGCGTGTGTCTCGTGGTGCGTATAAATGATAGAGAAGCGTGGATATCAAAAGATTTATATGTGTATGCGCGTATGTACGTGTATATGTATACACACATACATACATAATGCGTTTCTAGAAAAAAAGTTATAGGCAGCACTAGTTTAATTTTTGGACTAGGAATCTATTTTGTGTAAAGCTTGAATGGGAGTTTCTGTCTTTTGTAAAAAAAAAAAAAAAAAAAACTCGCTTTTCAAGCTCTACATTTTATTAAAACTCGAATGAGGACTTTTAGCACTGTTTTTTAGAAATAAAATTATAAAGGTTCTTTTTTATTTTTTACGAAATGTAAAATGAATGTAGAATGTAGCGGAACGATGTGGAGATAAATGGATTCAATAATGATGAAAGATTCTGATCACATTTCCACTTCAATTGTGTCGAAAAAATAAAATTTGTATAACAAATTATTTCAGAGAAACGATAAATTTCAACAACACAAAACACTTTCGAGATCTTATTCCCATTTAGATAAAAGCTGGTTTTTCTTTTGTGTCAGCAGTATTTAAAGAAAACATATTTTCACTCTAGCCTAGTCTCTGTAAGAAAAGTTTTTCCTTAAATGTACAGGATGAATTACTTAAGATGCTCTTGGATATGATAATATGTACATAATTCGCACGAATCGTTTTTTGAACGAGTTAAATGTGTTTAAAATTAGGATTGTTTTATTAATATTAATTTAAGGTTAATATAGCTCAAATCATTGATTAATGATTAGCTCGCAAGATTTATGTTGCAATAGTCGACATATATTTGTTACAAATATAAGTTTATCGATACAACATAATTTGTAACATTTTTCCCAGAGTTCAATATTTATTGTTAAATTTATGTTTATTGATCTATTTTTTGTGATCTACTTTGATAGCGAAGCGCGACAAAATATTTTTATTTATCGTATATTGCATATTATCACGTAATTATCACGTAATTTGCAGTTAAATCATAAGATTAAAAAAAAAAAAAAAAAAGAAACAAATTGGTATTTCCCAGAAATACTAAGAAATTTACAAAATTTGTATTATATATACGTAGTCTGTCGAGAAAATTGCAGTCTTAAGTATTTCATTACTATACAATATGTTTCGTTGACTTTCTAAGTAATAATCAAATCATTATCATTGAACACGAAAGTTCAATTTGAAATAATTTTATATGTGTAATTTTCAATTAAGGATTCGCGTTGCTTTACGTTTAATCTCTTTTTAGACTTTTTTTTTATACGTATCGAAGTATTTTTGCGGATAGCGACGCAGTATTCCAGAGAGAAAGAGAGAGAGAGAGGGAGAGAGAGAGCTTAGCGATTTAAGAATCGTAATGTAAAGAACACAGCGTAGCAATATTAGGATTTAAGAAACAATCTTACATGTAGTAAATGTACAAATATTGCGAAGAATTATTTGCGTCGGCCTATCTTGCGTGAAGAAAATCGTCACGCAAGTCGAGGACGCGTGAAGGAAAGGACGCTGAAAAATTTATTTTACGTTCTACTCAATACTTTTATGCATTTGTTGAAGTATAATGCGACATTTATTACATTCCTTATTGTCTAACGTGCATGTTCTATGTTATGATAAAATAAAAAGATCATTATTGTTTTTTTTTTTTTTTTTTTTTTATCTCTTAACAGTATTCATGGAAACACTCGTGATGTATGCTTTTCGAGTATTACGAACTTATCTTCTTGCAGATAGAGAAAAGAGGAGGAAAGAGAACGAAGAAAAGAGACAGATGAATGGGAAAAAAGGGTGCGCAAAAATGCAACTGATTTATTATTATACAATATCGCTTCCAAGATAAATCATTCGCGTTACAATTTATGCATTGTTCTATCCATTATAATCACGTCAATATTATGAAACGATTACTGATCTCTTTTTCCAGAACAGTGTGGCTTTAGTGCTTACTTTTATATTAAAACTTTCGCGTGAACACACACACTCGCACAGTGAGTTATTCAAAGATAAAAATAACTCGGAACTGTTGTGATTGATTTCCAGTAACTTTATCAACAGCTTCTTTTTGCAGCACCCACAAGACTTGAAGTTTTCAAAACTGCATTCTTATTTTTTTTATATCTTTTATACTTTTGTTCGTATCAAGTCCTCCTCGACTTGTTATTGTTTCATCATTCCTGCACTTGGAAACGATAGTGATAATACAAAGCAGCAGCTTGTTACATGCTATATATTATAGTATACGGCGAGATTTGCTCGTAATGACAACGAATTTCCGCTTGTAAGAAACTAATTGTACCATTAAATGCAAGGTTGTATCAAGACTGTAGTCTTAATTTTTTTTTAATTTTAATCAGCCGTCTTGGGGATAAATTGATATTAATAGTGATTAAACTACTTTAAAAATAAAAATAAAAAAACGAGCTACTTTAAAAAAAAGAAAAAAAGATGAGAAAAATATCTAAATGTATTTGCGTCGAAAAAACAGAGTCTTAAACTCAATGTTAATCAAATATATTTTAGTAGAAGAGAGAAAAGAAAGCGATAAAATCGAAAATTCCCTTGTTGTGTACAGCGAACATATATATATATATACACACACACATACATGCATATACAATCTGTTCCACGAGAAAGTGTACAACGGCTTTGATTCAAGACGGTTGACTTTATCGCTGTATGACGCCGTTTGTACAGTATATGATTTGTTGTCACTTCGGAACGTTACCTTTTATTAAAGTAGAAATTTTTTAACGAGTATCTCAAGTATCTCAAGCGTTACGAAGTGTTTTGTATGCAAAAACATTCACAAAATTTAAGGTCAAGCTTCAAAGACGTCAAGCAAGATGCTTTTCAAAAACGTCAAAGTCATTTGTTCAGAAATGAATGAAATAAAGTACAAAGAAGTAGGGAATGTTGACGACCGAGAGGGGGATTTAATCCGTTTACAAAATGATGTCGAGAGAAGACAAAACGATCGCTCGTCCGTTTTTGAACGAAATTTTACGCTAACTTTGCTCCAAGCTCGGGATCAGCTTCGTGAAGAAATGATATAAACACCATCAGACGTCGTTTACATGAATTTAAAGGTAAAAATATCGTTTTGTAATTTAAAACTCCATAACGAGATTGGCATGTCAAGAAGGTGCCAAGCAATATCCGATGACGAAGGCAACCGGATCCATTCCTAGGTAATTGTGCAATACTCTTTTCTACTTTGATGTACTACACAATCTTTTTTTTTTTTTTAGATTGTATATTCTCGATACGCTGTCGCACACTTTCTTCTGGAACAAATTGTACATATATTTGCACTATATTTTGTAAAACTATTTTCATAGTTTCGTAGAAAGTGATGATATCGGCTGATTGATGAGTCGCCGAGAGCAACACACACTCCACCGTTATATAAATGTTATATTATTATACTATATATATATATATATATGTTACTTATAATATTAATTGTAATTTGTCGCAAACTACGGTATATTTTTTAATTATTGTATCATGTAATGTTATTAGCAAAGATCGATATTTAACGGGAAATATATGTCAACTGCATTCAACATCCCCAATGCCTTTTTTATTCTCCAGCTTATTATCTCTATTTTTTATTATCTATGTGAGCTTTATTTAATTAAAATAGTTTACTATACACACACACGCGCGTGCACATATATTGTTACATACATTTGCACAGTGTCAAAGGATAAGAGAATTAAAAAAAAAATGTGTTTCTGCAAAGAGATAATTTTTATTAATATTCGTCATTATAAAACATGTGGGATTGCAATGCATTTAATTCATTTGTTAAGGCTATATCCTGCATTTTAACAATAACGAGTACGTTAACGTCGTTCCACCCATAAGTGTTTTTGTGTTTTCGTCTCTTTAATACACGTAAATTAGCGAGATATTAGTTTTAATAAGAGTGAATAATGAAAATTTGAAAGTTTATAATAGATTTTTAACATTACCAAAGCTAGCAATAATAAATTACATGCGCTGTCTTTGACAGATACACTGTATAAACTATTATCAATATTAGCAAAAATCTTGATATTAAGATATATATAAATCTATGTTTAAGATATAGATTTATATATCATATAACAAATTTTTATATACAGATATATAAATTTTGTATTATATATAAATTTAAATATATATGAATGTGGATACAATTTTTTTGCGCTGTCACTATTTTCAATAAATTTACTATAATTCCACGAGTAAATAAAATTTACGGTTACGTAGCAAGTTGTACATATAGTTTTATATCCGAAACGTGTCCTACTTTTCCATCGTTTTTACACACCTTCAAATATGTAATAGCTGGAAGTTTGAGCAAATGCATTTGTAATAAACATTTTATTAGGGAACGTAAAAACAAAATTTCTGCGAAGAAAACTTTTAAATTTGTCAGAGAATTCTATCGAGGATTAAAATTAAAGTTTAACAACTACGTACACGTAGAGACTAAAAACTTTTTCAAAATTGTATATAATCTTTTCATCGTTGATATTATCGTTTTTTTTTTATTTTCGTATATAATATGCTCGTAAATATATGAAACGACGTCTCAGTATCGATTGTCTACAGGTATGTGAGCGTACACGCATTTAAAATACTTCATTCGCAAAAATCTTCAACAGCTTCGCATGCGCTAGATATAGAAAAATCAAAAGTGACAAACAACATTTCGACCCTGTCGAACCTTTTGATAACCGCAATTTGATATTTGAACGTTTTTTTTTTTTTTTTTTTAGGCTAACTAGAAAGCTTCTTAACTATATTTATCACATCAAGCATTTATTTATTATTAACCCTAAGTATACTAAAATATGTATCAAATATTATATGCGTAAGTATTTATACGTGATATATATCTTACTATTATGTATTACGATATATAATTAATTAGGTAGTAAAAATAAACTAATACTAAATACCCCAAAATGTAATTAAGCCACAACAAGTAATTCACTTAAATAAGTAATTTCTTACGATATTTTATACGTGATTGTTTGATTGATTGATTAGAGTTTAATGATTTTATATATATATGTGTGTATATATATATATATATATAATCACTTTAATATTACATAAAATCCCCTACATACAAGCAAAGATCTAAATCTATTTAAAAGAGCTAAATTTTTGTATCATTATTTTTTACATTTTATGTTCTTTTTCTCTCTCTAAATTTTCATATTTTAAAATCGTGAATTTACTAATCGGCTATGCGCGTAAAAAATTGGTTTTTTCGTCTACAGCTTGTTCGTGAAAAATAACAGCATACTTTATTTATGCACTATGATATTCAGAGTCAACAGGGTCGAATTACAAAAATCTACTATACATGTTCTATCGAGTAGAATTTGCGCCAATTACTATTAATTGTCTTCTATTCGTTTTTATTTGGATACATTAGATGTACAAATTAACTGTTTTGTTAAATTATTAATTTTTTCAAAGCAAAAAAATAAAAAAAAAGAAACAAATTTGTAGAAGTACGTCACTGGTGTGTCGATCATCTCGCGTTATTTATCGTGCAGCTTGTGTGATCTCCGTCTTCCTTCCGTAGAAGGCATCGACGCCAGAAAAGTTATGAAAAACTAACTTGTACATCTAATAATCGAGATATGAAAGAATTGATTTTGTCTTGGAATAGAGTACGCGCCTTAATCAAATTGCGACAAATTATTGTTGACAAGAAAAGATAAATATGTATATATATCTATGATGTAACAATATTTTAAGTTAATTAAGTTTAACAGTATTTTAAGTTAATAGTCTCTTTTTTCCTCTCTAAGTTTTTATATGTGTAATTCATATAATTATCAGTCTCTGATAGACTTTAGACTTTAGTATACGTATTCGTGTTTATCTTCTTGTATTTAAAAACGAGAAATGGTTCATGATTGACGTAAATCGTGTTCAAGCCAATATCTCACGCAAAAAACGTTTAATCAGGCTTATGTGATATTTACATCCAACTTTGTCGTAGACTTTGTATGCAATTCTATTTTCAAAGACTAGCAAATCAATAAATTTTCTTTTACGTTAAATAACAATAACGCTAAAAAAGAACGAAGAGAATTTTACTAATTATATATATCTACGTTTATCTTTCACATCTCTATACTCACACATCGTTGACGATGTGAATATACAGATCTATGTATTTTCTTTCTTACTTTTAATTTGAGAGAATATTAAGTGTCTATATAAACTTAAATTGCACACAGATTCCTCTCCATCTGTTCTCCATTGTTGTAGCTTCATTCGAGTCTCGCACAGACTTTATTCCGACCATGATTAAAATTAAAATTAACGTCCGCTAAAATTGTTCCGAACAAGTCAGCGGGATTGCAACGATATAACGTTTCTGATTGTAATCTCGCTTTCGAGAAAAAGTTTTTCGTTTCAACATGATTTATTTCGATTTTAAGGTGAATTATATTTTCCCAGATTTCATTATCTCCGGGGAACACACGCTACTTCCCGTTTATTATATTCGATTTTTTAATATATAGGAACGTTCATATATTATAATATCTGCTAAAAACGCTAAGAAATTCAACGTCATAAACTATTGAGTTTTTAGTATAACAGGACGGAAAGGTATTTTTTCTTTTTTTTTTTCGTTTACGTGCAAAAAGTATTATATTTTCTTACTTGGCGCAATTCGTTACTTAGGCTTCTTCGCGAACTAGATACATCGTACAGCTATGTATATCTTACGTATAACTACGGCTCTCTCTTGAGTGGAAGCCGATATTAAATCAACGTACAAAATAGACATGTAGAGTTTTTGGTGTTGTAGGAGGTCATCTCAACTTTGTTTACTCCGCACATGTGTAAATATGCAAAACGAATGATCAGCGAATTTAAATTTACTTAGAACAATCTCGAAGGAAGTTTTATTACATGTGTAAATATTTTCTTCTCTTTACTTCTTAGCTTCTGTTGTCACAAATTGTCGGAAATAATGGCGATGGAATAATACAATACTTATGGTGATTTTAAATTTGAGCTTCTATGTTATTTCTCACAATGACAATGACGCAATTCCTTTAAAACGTTACGTCACTGTCAATGATTTTTATATCGCCGATTGTACTGCTCGCTTTAAATTTATAATTACGTACTTAACGTATGTACTATCAGCTGCCGATCGACGGCGAAGCTCGATGTACCTTTGATTATCATTGCTTTTGCAAGCGGTAGTTGAGAGTAAAATCTGTGGTGACCGACATTTCTGTAGAAATTATTGAGTAGAATAAATTTTCGAGATAATTGCGATCTGAGTGAAGCAAAGGTAACATGGCTAAATTGTCCAATAGTTAATTACTGTGAGCGTATAATGATAATTGAAATCTGGTGTGATTATTACATTCTAACGAGAGATTATCTGTGTATATGTTAATATTAAAATTATTAATATATTATGTGTGTGTATGTGTGTTGAAATATCCGCAGTGTTACATTTGCTTCACTTGTTCTCTCATCACTATTTCCCGATTGCAGTCAGAAAGACAATTACGTTACATTGTGCAATAAATACAATGCACGCAATATATAGTTATTGTTACATTAATTGCTTTTTACCGATATATCGATTTTTTTTACATCACTATTAGCACCCGTCGCTAACCAAAGAGATCATAATAATAAGCGGAAGTTAATATTCCACATAAGCGCAATTAGAGGCCAGCAGATTTGATCGAAAATTTAACACTAATCTGATTGAGCTGAAACGAAAGATCTATTGTATATGGAAGCATCTCGGATCACTAAACTTATTCGAAAATTCTCTCTAGTTTTTCTTGATGCCTACGGACTCACAGCCATGCGTCATCGTGCTTTCGAGGAAGCTTTCGAGAAATTTTGTATGTATATATCAACAGGAGAGAGAGAAATGCCTCATTTGTATCAACATTTCTGAAAGACTTGTAGAATATTTTCGAGACGTTTCGCGTTACGTGACGAGCGACGTAAACTCGTTTGTTTTTTTTCGCAGAGATATCGGTCATCGTGTGTCGCGTGTCCGAAGTCTTTTGAGATCATCAGCACGTGGGAAAAAGTGTTCTTGTTCTTTTTTCTCTTTTTTTTTTCTTCAACGTCCGGCCCATCGCGCGCAGATACAGAGAAGGCATTTCGTACGACCGTGGTATTATTGACCGGAACTGATGGACATGGTGTCACTACCGGTGGACGCGGTATCCGACAACGGAGATGGTAACGGAGGCGGCAACGGCGGCGTCGACCTCAGCAACTCGTAGTGCTCCCGCGGCACCCGTACGGGCGGTGGCGACATCACCACATTCATGTTCTCAGGTACGGGCGGCATCACGTTATTTTGAAATTGACCGGACACATTGCCCACCGGCTCATAGTTCGCCACCACGATCACCTTGCCGCTTCTGCTGCGCGCTTTGCCGACCCCGAAATAACGACTGCTCGCCCATATCAACTGAGTAAAGTGACCTATGAGGAACACTCGTCTGTGTTACTTTGCTCTCCGCGAACCAATAACTATTTAGGTATACCCGAAAAGAATTAAAAAAGCAAATGATCTCATATTCACACCGTTGTTATCTATTTTTTCACATAGCATTTTCCTCGATTGTTTAGTAAAATAAAGAATGCTCGCGCGCGCGAAATCTTGGAAAATGGGAGGGAGGTAAAGATATAATATTTTTCGCGATTATATTTTACACATACAAAAATGTAGGCGTACTCGACTCTGATACTTTATCATCATCGAAATTGATATTTAACTTATTCTTTCGTCTCTAAAGCTCATAAGCAACATCTTATTCGTTATATATCCTATTCAGTAACCGCGAGAGAGATAGATGCCACTTATAGTCAGTTAAATAGTTTGAATCCTTTACCTGCATTGACGTTAGCATGAAGAACATCCGGTTCTTTGAGGAAGTCGTACTGTCGCACGGCAGAGTACCAGTAGGATGCCACTTCCTGTCCTGTGACATCACCGGGAACAGCACCACCGGGACGACAATAAAGATTATGACCTACATTCCGATCGTTTCTGTAATAGAACGTATTCGTGTGCGCCAGGTGATTTGCCCACGATTGAGCGTACTCGCACAACTGCAACGTATAAAATAAAGAGAGAAGGAGAGAGAGAGAGAAAGAGAAATAGAAAAATAGAAAAAGAGAAAGAAAGAAAGAGAAAGAGAGAAAGAGAGAGAGAGAGAGAGAGAGAGAGAGCGAGAGAAGAGAAAAAGAAAGAGAGAAAGAGATACTGTTTCAGTTTACGATAGCATCAGTCTCTTTATCGTTCTCTTCATCGTTTATGATAATTACCTGGGGTGACATAGTCAAAGGGGGTGAATTGTGTCGTTGCCGATAAACGTTGTGCCAGCAAAGGCATTCGGTGATAAATTCGCTATCGCGCCAATCAGTCTCTAAGTCGCTCCTATCGTACGTGATACTCATTGGTCGGTTGCTAAGTATCTGCAAGAAAAGTTTGATACTCGTTTGAAACCACGCAATAACTTATGCCTGATCTACGCGATAAGCTATCGCACGACGAGCACGCAATGTCGCGGTAAGTCGAAACGATTTCGTTTTTATAACTCGTTTAAAGATGTCCGGAATTTAAAGATATCTCGGAATTTTCAACTGTGAGCCACAGCGCTCCGTAAATACTTAAATACTCGTACAACTCATAAAAATGTTGTAAAAATTTATGTCAACATCATAAATCATTTGATAACATTTTTGAAAAGAAAACTTGAAAAAATTAAAAGTCTTTCCTTTACTTTTTTTTAGAATTAATTTCTGTTTAAAATTTTGATTTTAACGTGCGAAAATATTCTCTTAGACTTCGAAAAAACAAATTGGATTTTTCAAATTCTTGAAATCTTGATTTACTCATTTGAGAATCAATCATTTCAAATAAAAATTCTCGAACTATCAAATTTTTTTGAAATGTCAAAAAAATGTCTAAGATTGACAAATTCCTATGGTTCTTACATTTCTAATTTATTCGATTGATTGCTTCTGGAATATATATCGGATTTTTGTAAGTATACATTTCACAGTTTTTTCTTTCAAGCTTGAAAAATCTTAGATGAAGGATACGTGCCGTGAAAATTCTTCTTTTTAAAGGCTCGAAAAGCGTTCCTTCGCACTCCCACGCGTTCGAGTACAAAGACGACATTGCATAGAAGATGATTTCGTGTGTATAGCCAAACTGAAAGGACGCTTGCAACTAAAAGTTTTTCGGTTAAACAGATCAATATGTTGCAGTTTCTCAACTGCATTCAGCAACAAAAGCGTAGGAACAGAAATATTGGTGCGCCACTCCTGAATCTAAAGTATCGACCCAAGTATATTGCGCGCGTGCTCCTTCCTACTTTTGATTTTGTATGCCATTTCGAAAACAGTTGCATGTCGAGCGAGAACCAAGGACACGGCGGAAATTTATTATTCCGCGATCTTAAGACGCCATTGTGTAGCACCTCCGAAGTACCTTTGTTTTATGAAATGAGAAGTGTGTACACATTATGCAGTCTCACGGCCGTTCTCCTCAATTTTACGGTACAAGAAGAAGTATAATGTTTTTACGTAATTTGATTTTCACATCATTAAAATTGAAAGAAATAAACTTTGTTACATTTGCAGTGTTAACGACACGCTATATAAATTGAAAAACAATGTTTTTTTAATTGATCATTCATATCGCGAAAAATATTTGGGCACGAGTGTTGTGCATGTAAACAATAAGTTAATGAAATTTAAATCTTGTCGAGAAAAATGGTAAGTTTTTCATAATTAAAAACCTAAGCAAAATATATTTTCTTATTTTTTTAAAACACTGACAATTTATATAAAATATCTACCTTCTTCAAAAGTTTTGGCCGATTGTCCAACTGTTGTTCGTAGTTTGTCGAGGATGAGGTAGATACAATTGGATCGACGATTCGATCCGCTTTATATAATTTGCTTTGTTCTACTCTCTTCCTGAGGTTCTCCAAAGCTGTCGCCTCTTCGCGCTTTCTGGATGGCGGCCAGTTCGCGCTCGAGGTATGAATCATGCTGATTCCAGCAAATGGTGAATCCTGACGGAGAGGACCATGCTTAATGTGTGTTTATTTTATTAGAAGAATTTCACTAAGACTAATTTATACACACACACACACACACATGTATAAAGAGAGTTTTAAAAAGATATCTTTACGTACAATATTGTTTTAAAAAGTTTAGAAACAACAGGTTTACTTTCATAATGGCGCAAAAATTTTACACTGATAAGTTTGAAGAGATATTGCGCTTTTATCAATATATATAACAAAACAATTATTTAATTTTTATAAATTATAAATTTCGAATTATGACACAAAAAATTAAATGACACGTACAGACATCGCAAATATAAGAAAATTCTTGACTCCACCGTAATTATTTATCATTTCTCTCTTATCTTAAGAAAAATTTAGATTTCTAACTAAAAAACTTAAATTCTTGTTGAAGTCAAGTTTCTGTGCTTTCTGCATGATTCTTGCTCAGAATCCATAGCTTAAAATTCTCGACTTGTGTTCTTGAATACATTATACAATCTCTCGAAGTCTCGCAAGTCTTTAACCTTTTGACAATTAAATCCTAAATGAGACATATATATATACATATGCAGCCAGCTTATTCAGGATGATTTTTGATTCTCACATTTGGCCAAGAACCAACCTTGAGATTATTGCTATTGGAAACGTGATCCAACTGTGCAACTTGGCTGAGCAATCGTCTGCTCGCGGGACATCGGTTGCGATTGATCATCTCTTTTTGCATCGCGTACTCGATGAAATAGCTTTCGTATTCGGCGTTGTCACGCTGCGGCAGGAGCTCCGTTGTCTCTTCCGCAGTGCCGTACGCGCGGTTCACCTCACGCAACTCCATCGCGACTAACAAATCTTCGTACTCTCTGAGCCGCGATCCGCGATCGAGGCACACTCGAATCTGACCGAGTGCATACTGGCCGCTTCGCGATATCGCTGGATACCGCGTACTGCGGAACATGTGTATGTACATATATATATATGTATATATATATACATACACATGCGCGCCAAGTCCGTCGCGCACGCGGCCATCTCTGCTTGTGATGATCGAAAGAGCCAAGAGAGAACGCGAAATATATAACATAATAATCGTTGCTCATTCAACAAGAACTGTGTTCCCGTTTTTTACATATTATTATTATACTTTGTTGATAATTGATAATGAACTATTGACAGAACTTCTTTCTCTAAAAGTATGTAACAATTTTTCACGCTTGGTACAAAGAGAGGGAAAAAAGGACTATGAAACAAAAGTGTAATATCACGATCAAAAATTAAGAAAAAATAAACAGCAACCAAAATTTAATTAGATTTCAAGAACAATATTACAAATAATCTTGAATAAATAAAAAAAATGAATAAATGAAAAAAACAATGCTTTATCTAAACGTTTATAAGAAAAAGAGGTTTTATTTTTTAATTATAAAAAATACTGTGGTGTCTAATCTAGAACATTGTATATAAAACTGTCGATGAAACTAAATTATGTGACAAAACTAAAAGATGTGTGGATTAGATATGGAATATAGATCGAATTAGACTTGAAATAAGTTTAAAATTTACCGTTTATTATACAGATTTATATTTAATCCTGACTGGCATCTACATTTTCAGTCTGAAGTCCTTTAAAAGATGCAACAGGTATGTATGTAACTAGAGTGTATAACTTGTTTGCAGAATCTTCATCATCGTTCCTTCTTCGGCTTAGTCTTACACGAACTCTGAACGGAACATTCCTGAAAATATCCAAAAATATCTTAGAACTTTTTTGCTTTCTCTTCTTTCTACATTATTGTATCAATTTCTTATAACTAAGTTTTAATCCCACACTTACATAATTTTTTTTAATTGAAAATCTTTCTATTCAACACAATGTTCAAGATAATATCAGATAATTCAATAATTGAATGTGATAATATATTCTACTAACTATATATTAATAACTATGTATATAAGAACATTAAGTAGCAATCTAAGTTAAAGAGCATACTTGTAATTCTGTAGCAAAAGATTATACCTGATGCCCTTGGACCACAGTTGTTTATTGAGACGTGTATCTATTCGAACATCAGGAGTTCCCATCTGTTTCTCAGCAAACTTCCTAATCTCCTTGATAGCTCGTGGAGCACGTTTCTTAAATCCAACACCATGAAGACGTTTGTGAAGATTTACCGTATATTCACGGGTTACCACCTCATTGATGGCACTTTTTCCTTTCTTCTCAGAAGACTTAGCCATGTTTAGCTAGCTCTAAAATTTTAGGTTATGTTACATACAAAAATAAATATACATAATTTGCAGGATATGCATGCATGCTTATAGATTCATAACTAACGTATAAGCAGATATATTGGAGCTTTTGAGCTACAAAAGAACTTAAGTCTACACATATATAAGTGATTGCATACATGCAACCAATTATTTAAATGCTATTCTGTGAACATATTTGATAACCTTTCGTGTATAGTATAATGATACTTATTTAATGTTATAACACTTTCTTATTTCTTGTAACCACTATTTAGATAACATCTTTCACATGTATCATACAAATATGTCAAGACTTGACTTTTTTGTGCAAGTGTTTCAAGAGATGTCAAACAAATAACCAACCACGCTTGTCACGATGCGAACAGAGATTTAAAATGTATGATGTAATTAAGTTGTTGTTAATTTGAAGGAAGAAGATCCAGTCGATAGAATTATATAGAATTTACATGCTCATAACTAATATACAGCAGGATGTTTATAGATTACAACCTACAGTCACTTATTCTTACCTCTCCGACGTACGATTAACCAAAAAGAAAGTAGTATTAGTGTGTTATAAAAAATACCGTTTCGCGCACGCGCATTACACCACTATTCGGAGTTACAATTGCGTATTTTTGCGCATGCGCATTTAAGTGTAATATTGCCGCGTTCAGCAGAACTCAGCGCTTTGTGCGATTGTTGCTTTTCATTGGTATATACCGTCGGTACGTACGTTATGTCCAAACGTGGACACGGTTCTATTCCGCGCTAAGGCTAGGTTTACAGCGTGCGAACGTAATTGCGATTCTATTCTGTTCAAATCCTGACAGGTTGAGAGCTCACAGATTGACCGGTTAAATTTACTGACTGATTAGAAGTTCACATTTTGACCAATTAGATTTTTATGGTTTTGCGTTTAGGCCTGGTTTATGCGTGCAATAACTGTTAACTTATGCCGGAACCGGTAGAGTTTAACTATAGGATTCCAATACTTCTGTTTATACGCATTCGGCAATTTCGTATAAACAGAAGTATTAAAATCATATAGTTAAACTTTACCGGTTCCGGCATAAGTTAACAGTTATTGCTCGCATAAACCAGGCCTTAATGTAATAACAGGCTTTAGAGAAAATGCTAGTCTGTGATTGGTTAATGTGCCTACGACGGTTTGCGGTTACACCTAAAACTTTGTCATGTGCGCACGCCTATCGTGACTTGACAGTTTAATTTGTCTTGTAAACAAGATCTTATAAATTCAGATCAAAAGCGCGAGCAGCTAGATTACCGAAGACGGGGACGTTTGCTGACCAATCCCGGTTTACCGAACCATAACTGCGTCAAATCTTGTTGACAGACTTTTACCGGCGTTTTTGTAGAAAAGATTTTTCGCGCTCATTTCAACATGTGGATTCCATTAGAATCGAATCCAGAGGTGAGAGCAAGATTTGTAATATTTTTGTTGTATTACAATGCACAATGTTCTAGCTGCAATTGCGTAAACATTGATTTCTCTGTTCTAGGTTATGACCAAAGTAAGTGATCGATTGTTCTTGTTATTTTTCAATGACTTCAATTTTATCGATGATGATTTCTTCAAATTTACCCCTATGATGATTCATCAACCAATTAATATAGTTGTATACTTATATGGTTTTTATAAATTAACATTATTGTAGCGTCTCTGACGATTTTTTAATATTGCAACAAAAGTTTATAATATATATTTTTGTAGTTTCTCCACACGTTGGGTGTCCCGAAAAAGTGGTCAATTATAGATGTATATGGTTTAGATCCAGATTTATTGGCGATTGTTCCTAGACCTGTGCTTGCTGTTATTTTGTTGTATCCAACAAAAGTATGTATCTTATATAAAAAAAAATCTCTAATGAGATACAAATTATGTAATCGGCAGCATTATGCAAAGAAAACAATGTTTGTTCTGATTTATTTTAGACTGAAAAGATTAAAGAAGAAAAGGAAGAACCAAAAGATAGCAAGAATGATACTCCAGATTCTGTTTACTATATAAAGCAATATATTCATAATGCATGTGGGACTATTGCCTTACTTCATAGTGTAGCCAATAACTTGGATGTGTAAGTATTTACAAGTGCCTCGTTGTGTACTGTTTGTATGATAGTTTCAGTATTTCAAATTGAATGATTGGACTAACAAGCCGATCAAGTTTTAGTTTTTGTTATGACCACACATATGATTAGCGTTTTTCATTACAGTATAAAGTTGGAAGAAGGCTCTCTCAAACAGTTTTTGGATGAAACCATGGGACTCTCATCTGCTGAACGTGGAAAGAAGTTAGAAAATGCTCAAGGCATTGCTTCAATTCACAAAGAATTTGCTCTGGAAGGACAAACGGGTGTAAGTTACTATTATTTTATGTGTGAGAACAACAAGTATCTTTGAAGTAACGGGTGTAAGTAATTTTCTTTCTCTTTGCCGTAGGCGCCGGATGAAGATGTTGAAGTATACCATCATTTTGTAGCGTTCGTACATAAGGACGGCAACTTGTATGAGCTAGGTATGTATTATTTCTGTTTTCAGAGATTTTATTTTTAGTAAAATTGATATATATATGCAACATATAATAAAATTGTCTTCAGACGGTCGGGATGCCGGTCCTATCAATCACGGCTCAACTACACCGGATGACCTCTTAATCGATGCTGCGCGTGTGTGCAAAGAATATATGAAACGTGACCCAAGCGAAGTGCGCTTCACGGTAGTCGCACTCGCTGCCAGCGAATAAATTGATGTTTATACATTAAATGCATTTGCCTTTAAGCTAACTTAAAAAATGAAATAACGAATAATTTATTTTATAATGGAAATATTTCATTTTGTACTGTCTAATACTTTATTTTGTACGTGTGTATGTTATATGTATATTCTGCTTCGCGCATTCTCTCAAAGAGCTAGCGATTTGACATTATCGGAATATTTTCGATATTTCTGATTAATAAAAAAATTGTGTGCGTAATTTGTTTATTGTATTGTTTTTTAACGTGTTTTGCAGAAAACGATCGTTGTGCAGCAGTTTTTTTTTTTAAAGTTTTTGCATAAATGGTCGCATAAAACAATTGCGTTCCGCTGAATGTAATCATTGAAAAAATCTCACGTCTTTCTTGAATACAGCGTGCAATTTATACAGATTGAATAGCAATAGCGAGACAAACATTAACGTGCAGAGATATTTTTAAGTTACGTTTTTATTGGAGCAGACGGGGTAAAAATGTAAAGAGATGCTGTACAAGACAGTGTTTAGAACGAACTCCAGATACTGCGCGTTGGTCAAGGTCTCCGAGTTTTGCGTAACAAAACGGACGAATGCCAAAATAAGATTTTCGGTCTGCTAGTTGGAGTTGGCGATAAATTGGGACCGATACATTTCTCTCGTTTGGCATTTGACGCATTAACATTTGGCCAGTGACATTTGACCATCAACTTTGAATATCTCGAGCGGGTTCGCGTTTTCATTAATAAAACTTTCAAGCGTAGTCACGTACTTCTCTAAGTATAAATTATACACTTTAAATAAAAGCGCCATAAATTTGTTGAACTTTTGTGTTCAACCAGTGTTTTAAGAATATATATTACAATTATTCTTCTCGTTTTTTAAATGCGCTATATCTTACTATTTTTATTTCAATTCACTTTGTGTCTTGCACACATATCTACGATAAAGGTATAACTAAATCGCATTAACACGTAATATTGTTTATTTGTTTATAATTTGCAGGAGAAATAATATTAATTTCTAAGATAGCGGTGCAATATACATTCCAAGCGCTTGATTTCATTTATTTAATTTATTTTATTTTCAAGAAATATATATACGTACCTCTTACATTTTACGCAAATAAGCGCTATTGTCTGTTCCATTATCAGAAACTACATCGGTCATTGACCACTTGACAAAAGCATCAGTTATTTTGGATCCTCTTCCGAGAATCTAGACATCTTGGCACGACTGTCCAAGTCGTGCGCGGCTTTAAAATTATAAAATATAAATATAAATTCCAGACTATAATATATCGTCCGCGTGTGTAATAAGATACTCTTTTTAATCCGAAGTACAAAAACTTGCCTGTAGCACAAGCAGCTGCAATTGTAAAGAGAAAGAAAGAAAGAGAGAGAGAGAGGAGCGTGGTGGTTTTTTTCGAACATTCGCAAGAAATGTTTTATTTATGAAAGTTATCGTAGTAAAAGTGTAACATATTGAAACATTTCAAATATGTATGTCTCTCTTTCGTAATTTCTTATCGTATCTCGTACGTATTTCTTTTACGGCTGTACCGAAGGTACTTTGCGTCATTCTAGTGGAAAATTTTACGCTACATGATCCGAGACCGGTTAACAGTTGGTTTATCGGGACCGGTTACACAATACCGGTCTAATAAATGTATATATACGACAAATTGTATTTCACGAGACGTTTTGCTCTATTAACAAAGTGAAGCAGCCGTATTGCCTCATGGATTATTTTCCAATCTAATTGCTGACGGCACATCGATCCGGCAGGCGGAATCGCGCGGTGCGCGTTATTGTGCGCTCTACGCAATCTAATCAGTTTATTTGTTCACAAAAATTATCACATTCAGCATAATATAGTACTGACTCATTTAGTTCGCATCAAATTTGTTTTTTTTACGCTTGAACGCGATAAAACAACGCAGGCAACTGTTTTTTCCAAGTCATTCAGATGCGGGTCCGATAAGTAAATTTCCTGACTCGTCGGAAAAAAACACGCGTGACCGCGAATCTTCGTATACCGGAGTTTCCATTGAGTGGACGATGCTATCGCGTCATATGTACTTATCAAGTAACAACTCTCTCTCTCGAGTAAGTATGCCGCGTATCACATGCCCTGTGAGGCGAAATTTATTACAATCGCGAAACGAGAGCGTTTTTCGCGTGTATTTCGAATTCTGCTGCGAAACACGATATAGAGAAGTTGTGTGTACTGATAAGCGCAATGTAAATTTTCTAATCGCGCGCGGCAGTATTTTAATTGATGAAACCGCTTTATGATGGCAATTTCGCGCAAAGCTTCGCGATTAATCGTAATTACGTGCGCGATCGCGCTATCTTCGCTAATGAAAGTTCGCTCCGATTTTGTAACGCGAGAAACACACAGCCGCAATCGCGAGAATGCGGTTTAAAACTCGCGCGAGGACAACGGTTTATTATCGACAATTAATTCGGAAAGAGAGAGCGTTTGCTTTGTAAAAAAATTGCAAATTTTCTAAATTTTTTTTTTAAGAATACGCATTTTTTTTTTTTTTTTTGGTTGTCTGAGTATACACAGGTATATTAGTGAGTTTGCTCGTGGCCGAACACGTTTAAAGGTCAGCCCACGCTTATCGTCGTGTACGTGCACGACCTCGTTTCCGTTTCTGGTCTGGCATCACTCATTGTCCTGTTTCGTTATAATCGCTCTCTCGTCGCAATTTTGATACGCGTGTAAATTTTTTAATTTAGCGCGACCGCCTCTCTTATCTCGCTTCTTAGCGCGATGTCGACGCCGCGTTTTCCGCGCCTTTCGTTTCGTTTCGTTTTCATTGCGGTTTTAGTGATTGTGATCTGAAACATCGCGGCCTCGCGTGCAACGAGCGCGTATTCTCAGCTCCGGTTCGGATAAGAAAGAAAAAAAAAAAAAAGAAAGGAAAAAAACTTTGGTGCACGGTCGAGGACGTGCGTCAATATTCGAGGTCGCGTTTCTATTGACGTTTTTATTTTAAGAAATCTCACATCTCTTATTCGTAACATAACGACTATTAATAGCATCCTCACATTTGGACTGCTAACTACACGTCGTTACGACGACTGAATCATTCCGAGTGACGCGGAATCATCCGCCGTTCGATGGAGGATAATGAACTCTCGGAAGACCGAGAAAAAAATTGTTTTCTCGTTTTTTTATTTTACACATACATCGATTGAAATTGTATCTGCAAATTTAGGTTTTTTTTTGTTTTTTTGTTTTTTTTAGACTGCAAAGAGCGCGGACGCGATGTCACGTCGCAATCGCGATGATCATTGAAGACGCTTCTCGCTACGCGTGCTTCGCGCGCAAAATAAATGACAATATCCGCGCGTTATTCCGTCTCGTTAATCTTTAATTGCAATCGCGAGAAAGCACAGGAACATTGCAATCACACGCGGTCGCGACGTTAATGCGCGCTTTTGACGTTAATTCGCTCAATTATAATCTTTCTTTTGACGTCCTCGTCATAAAAGTTTTTTAACTCCTTTGTCTGACCATACGCACCGTACTGTTATCAAATTTGTGAGTTCTTTTCTCATGGCCTTCTATACGTATTGAGAGAGATTCTCTTTTGTGCGCAACACTCTCTTATTGCCAAATTCAAAATCTTTCCTTCTCTGTTTATCGTTGTTCTTAATTGAAAAAAATCTTTCCAATTTTGTTTCATAAGAATTTAATACACAGATAAAGCGTTCTTTCATTATAAATGCATTATGTAAACGCATTATATAAATTTTATTGTTATCTAGGCTTACAAAATTTAAATCGTGTTTATTTTTAAATTTTCCACTACTTTTTTGGTCTTTAGATTTATTAGGTGTTTGGCAATATTCTAAAGTTACAAATCGTAAGACTTGTAACTTTTTTTGTCAGATTTTTAAATAACACGATTGTATATATACTTCGTGAGGCAACTGTCTTTCGATCTTATGATTTGTTCATATATTTGCTTAGAATTAGCAACATATTAGACAAGTTTCTTTTTAATAATATAATATTGAATACTCGATGAAACAATTATAAGACAAAAAATCAGACAGCCTGTGGTCCAGGTTATAGGTAAGTTTCTTTTTATTTTATTTTTTTCTTATTTCGACGATTTTATTGATAAAATCTACATTTCTCTCTCTCTCTCTCTCTTTCTCTCTCTCTTCAAAGATAAAGTTCAGAATTGTTTTTGCAAAAAAAGAACTACAGATGATTTTGGAATCGAGGTCGATTTTCGGACCGTGTATTCGATGACGAAATCACGTCACGGTCTCTGCCCCGAGTTCGGGCAATGAGACCGGTGCCAAGAATAAAGAGACGTACAAAACGGCGTTTCAGCGGCAGCAGTTGCAGCAGCATGCGAATCGCCAGAAGGAAGTAGACAGCCTTCGAGTGGTTGTTGTGCCGAGTTCTCCTCGTGCCGGTTTCACTCGACGCTGTTTCAGTCGCGCATAAGCAGCCAACCGTTGTCTATCGTGTTCCGCGGGAACGGCTAACGATCAACGGATCTCTCATCCACATGGGTCACCGGCATTCGCGTGTCATTCAGAGGATATAATCGAAGACTTGACCTAAACCGAAGGTATGTATATATATATATATATATATTTATTTCACGCATCTGCGGTTCTCCAAAGAGCGTGTCACCTTGTTCCTCGCTGTTGTTGACCTTTCGCTTCGAGACACATTGTGTGTACGTACACCGCGAATACACGGTTGGTTCGCGTAGTTCGCGTAGCACGGCGAACGAATCGTTCGTTCTTTGAATCACGTGAAAGTATTACGTGTTGCGAAAAGCCGCACGCGAGAATAGCGTGGTCTTCAAGATTGGAGTGCACGAGGAGATGGATTTTAAATTTTGACGTATCGCTCCTCCGCGAAGAGACAATCTGTTCTTACCTGTCGCAGATAAAACTGTCGAGTCTCGAGAGTTTATTTGTCAATAATTGGTCAATAAAAACGTAATTACTTTTCGCGCGCGCGCGCTCGATGCACTCTAATGAAATTTACTAATCTCGATCCTTTGGCCAGAATCGCGAAAAGTTCACAGCCCAAATCAAATTTGAGCTACGTAAGTGCAATTTTTAAAACAGTAATGCAATTATACGAAATGTAAAATTGTTTTTGCCGAGCTGATAACAGGATTAAAAATTGCGACTGGAAAAATGAAGAGGAAAATTATTGAAAAAAAATTGAGATGTCAAAATTGATTTCTTTATCGTGCGAGCACGTCAAGCACAAACAAGCGTTTAATCTCTATAATCTTGGACTATCTTCGAGAGTTTGCAAATAATTATCATATCCTCAGATCGTCGAATGACATTTGATAATATCAAAAACTGTAATGTATTTTTGTTATCTTCCAACTTAAAAAAAAAAAAAAAATGTAACCTGTTTTGCTAGTTTCTCATACAGATACTGTAGAATCGCGCGACCATTGAGTTACTTTAACGAGCAATATTTTTATTTGATGTTAAATTGCAAATTAGCGCATGGTTGTTTGTTTAACGCTCAATTAACATTGATGCAATTCAAACATTAATGCCTCACAACAATATTTGCCATGCTATTCTTATGCAGATAAGCCGGAGTCGCAGTCAGTATTTAAAAAGCGCGAGTAAATTTGTACCATTTACCTGCAAAATTCGTTTTTTCTTTTTTTCTTTTTTTTTCCCGAGAATTCGCGTTCTTATTTCGTTTCGTCACGAAATAAATCCTGTGGCAGGCGCCCACATAAAATAATCGCACAACGATGACGCACGTGAGTTCAGTGCTGAAATAAAGTTGCTTACAAATCCGATTGTGTTTACTTTTCAATTAATATTGGAATACATCGCGCTACTTCTCTGCGATTTCATAAAAACGGAGGATTATTTTGTAACGCTCTTTCTCTCTCTCTTTCTCGTCGATCTCGCGGAGAGATCCTTTCCTCGCGAATGGAAGGAGGAGGATTCTCTGTGCCGAGTGTCCTTAAACGTTTTCCCCCGTATCTCGGAATATCACGCGCGCGGCACGTGATGCAATTGTAAGTTGCGCGCGGATTTATCATGTCTCAATACGTACACCTTTATAAATGTTTAATACGCTGTTAAAAAAAGAGTTTTTTCTCGTACGCGCGTTTCAAGGATAACGAGTGCAAATAATTTTAATCGGTGCGATTACAACGCACTTGCGATCTCGAGATCGGAACTTTGGCGGAAATTCGAAATATACGCTAGTGGAAAAAAAAAAAAATAATAATCTGCATGAAATAAAAACAATTTTGTATAATGCATTCATTTGTCAGTTAGTCACGTGAGAGTCTGCCATTGTTCGCATCACGGGAATCGAACTCGGCGACGTCACGCTCCATCTATTCGTACACACATGTAACGCTATCTCTACTCATACATGTACGAGCTCGCGTCTTAGTGTGAACTCGAATTTATATGTACATTAATCACACGGTCGATTTCCGATAAGAGTGGAAGTGTGTCGAATGTAGAGGCTTATCGCGAAAAAAATGACAACGTCTTGCATGTAATAACATCTTATCGTGAATATGTAGCGTTGCACTGCTAATTCTTTGAATTTCTTTCCGCGTATCAGTTTTTTTACTCTGAAATGCCAGATATGTTCGTTGGCGCATATTCGGTCATTGGACATTTAAACAATTTACCGAAAACACACACGTTCAAAAGAGAAATCAAGTATCTTTGCCTCTTAATAATGTATTTCGAAAAATCTTCCAAAAGAGTTCATTCTCGATGAATTATTGCATGATACTGCCGTTCTAAATAAATTATCCAACCGCATTACTTCGCACACGCACACACGCACATAGCTCGATAGTGGACGCGCAAGTATTCGCTAATTGTGTGACCCGAATGTCGTAACTTTTCGTTCGAAGCGATGTCTGATAAATTTTGTTGTTGACCGCTTATCGTCGACGCGGATAATGTGAGAAATTTGTTTTTTTTTCTTTTTTCATCTCCTCCCGATATTCTGTTTTTATCTCTCGCAAAAAAAAAACAAAAAAAAAAAAAAACAGAAACATCGCGCGTTATTAGATACTTTTTAACGTAACTTCCACGTTTCGCGCTTGATAAAGGTACACGTGACCGGCTAAAGGAGCCGCGCCGATGAAACAACGTCTATTTCGGTGATCTCGTCGTCAGAGCTAACACTGCCAAAAAGTGAATTCGTGTCGGTCAAAGCAGACTCTGGTGCACTTCCTCAACTCAGACACACGTGACAATAATTTTTGATTTGATTCGAACTGCAGCCGTGACCGGCCAATCTGCTGGTGTCTGATCAACCACGCGGATGTACGAACGTGATCGTGAGTATGAAACTTCACAATGTAAAATTAATGTAAAAAAACCTGTGTAAAAAACTAACTCACAAGTGAAAAACTTGAGACAAGAGTAAAATAATCGGCGATCGAGCCGCCGCGGGTTATTAGCGCGCGTTACAAAATTTTTTGTTTATTCTAATTAACAATAAAAATTTCGATCTTACTTAGATTCTCCTCGAAAGAAACAAATGAAAAAGTCAAAACAATTCAACAACGAATAAGTCTCGAGTATAGTTGAATTACAAATTTAATTAATGCAAATCTGATGTAATTTTGCATCGTGCGGTAATAATTGTTTTATACGTCAAAATTAAAAAAAAAAAAAAATTTTACTCAATTGAACGATGTTATTCCATTCATATTACTCCGCCTTAATAAACCGTCATCACGTGATCGGCTCATTAAAAATTATCAAATTATAACAGTAATTATGTCGATGACATTCGGTCAATTTATCGGATAATCGCGTTATTTTCTAATCCTCATAGCGAGATTATGCACTTATCTTATTAGAATTTAAAAAAATAAAAAATACAAGACTTCAAATTTCCGCACCGATGATTAGATCCGTAATTTCACTGTGCTTTGAAGATCAAACTGTGTGACACACAGACGTGTTTGATCTTTAAAACGCAATAAAATTACCGATACGATAATTGCTGAAATTACATAATAACAATAAGTTTTGTTCGTAAACCTTATGTCGATTTCACATATTATATTTTCGACGTTACACTTGTGAAATCAGTTTACATTGACTGATTGACACACGTGAAGATTTTTATAATTTCGAAGAAATTAAGTTTAATCGAATTAAAATTCCCAGAGACATTGCGCACTGTACAGTTCGAATATAATTTTATTCAGAGAAGAACGGTTAATTTTTTCAGAGAAATCTCATTGTGTGCGCGGCCGCTTGTTGCGCGCTTACACGCTCCGTATAGTCGCACAAAGTCTATTCGTCTGGCGAGTGTTGCGATAATTGCGAATCTGGCGTGTTCAGCGATAAAAAACGATATTGGCTGAAATGAATCACGAGAAAAAAATGAAATTAACACCGATACTGGGACTGTTTAAAGGAGGAATGTTCCAAACTACGGACAGACAGAAAAAATAAATTAATAAAACGACAAAAAAATACAATTTTTTCGGTTTTTCACGCAAAATCGAGCGCTCGTGTAGCAAAACAATCGCGATTCTCTTTCTCGGCAGAGATATTTGCGCGTTAAACATCCGCGAATTCTGGTGTGTCTCTTTGTTAATTCCATCTGATTTACTCGGAAACTTCAGCAGAGAACAGCGTAACTCCTCTACCATATATTCGCGTCATTTATCTCTTTTTTTTTCTTGTCTTTCAGAGCTTTTCTTCCATCCAACTGCGCACACATGTCTGTGTTTCGCGAAGCGGCGATAAGCACCGTAACTAATTGGCGGTTGTCTAAATTGTCCGCGTTTATTCTCCCGTCGCGAAGACAGCGAGTCTTGTTATAATCGGATGGAAACAAAAATCGATTGCGATTCGCGAAATTTATTGACACGCGGTGATAGAATTCACTCGCGCGCACTGTGTGATAATCTGCGCGAACGACATCTTTCTCGAGAGACTTTTCAGATGAGCGACTTTACAGACTGTTTGATTGCAACCTTCAATGTCAATAATGATCGGTTAATAAAAATCGCACATTTGATTAAGATCAAGTTATATAAGTCGCTAATAACGTCGCGACAGACACGTTCGCAATTATCTTATTGTTATCCACTGCCGCCTATTCGCCAATGTGAAAAAAAAAAAATATATATATCAACATTTATTAGCATAGAATTTTTAGTGACTAGTTTCTTTCATAGAGAGAACGTCTGCTTTATTGCCGAACGTGTCTATTACAGATTATAACCGCGCTAAAAATAAACTTCCTGCACGCGGTCGGCGTTGCGCAAATAGCGTCGCATTATCCGTAACACATTACGGAAAATCATTAATTAAAAAACGTTTATATCTCACATACGCGTTCGACGAGATACGTCGCGAATACCACCGTGTTGTTTCACTTGCGCGCCGCGCGGTGCGTCAATCCCTCCGCCCGCCGGGCTCTACACGCGTGTTTTACATTAATGTAATAGCTCCGGGAACTGTAAACCGCATGGAGGATAATTCGCGATTAGGATCGTTTACGCCGTTTAAAAGTATAAGTGGCGCAGGAAATAAATTATTCCACGACGCTCTTTACACGATCGTCGCGTAACAACGTCGTAATTTTTTTTTTTTTACTCCGCTCTCGAGAAGAAACTCCGTCTAAAATACAATGTTGCATAGATTCACCTCGTGTGTCATAGACATACATATCAGATGACAGTTGAAAATTTTTCCATCGCGTTCAAGGATTAGATAGCGCGCAACCAATTCCAATCGTTTCCGAAAAGAATTCCATGGCGTTTAATCGGTCAATTTCACGCGTATCTTATCCGGCGATAAGCTTGAATTGGATTGAAGTTTCATGTGCATATCGAACACAGTTTCAAATCCGAACAGTTTGTCACAAGCGCGCGCGCGATTCAGAACAAGCAGAGTTGGTTACCTATAGTTTTGCCACATCCGTCAATTTTGACGGATTCTTTGAAACTTTGTTATTCTTCGTTATATTTTAAATCTTTTCAAATATCGAAGTAATTAACAAAGAGAAAGCTGCGCAAAGATATTCAATAATTCACACACATTTTGCATCTTTTTTTGTTAAAAAATAAAACAGAACTACTCGGAACATTTCTCGCAATTGCAGATTGCATTTGTGAAATCCTTTCGGATTTCGACGGGATTTGATTGTTCTGGTGTTAACGCGGATGGCGTGACGTGGTCAATAATGAGACGTGCTTTTGTGCGAGGATTCCTCAAGCGATAAGATTGATCAGTTTGTTTGTCTATCGATTGTCTGCCGGCAGTCTGTCAATTACGCGCGCTGTTCGTCAAAGTTTATTTACGAGCGAAAACAAGACTCTGTCATTGCGCGAATATGTTTATATAAATGCACACTGACTGTTGTGTCAATTGTTACAGCGAAGTGAAGCGGTCACGTTTCGCGAACGTGTGACGGACGCGCAGTGCGTATGCGTGACTCTTATGACGTGTGATTTTCCTCTTCTGTCTCCCATTCAATACACTTCGACCCCTCGTTGTATCGATCCTCGTATCGACGAGAATTAAATACTGTACTGTGCACGATACATTAAGATTAATTAAGAAGACAATCAATAGAGAGAACTTACGCAACTTGCGCGTTTCAATTGACGGTGGGATACGTTGCTAATGACGGAATAATACCGGAGGAAAACTTCGATAGATAGATCGACCTTCGACTTCACGCTATACCTCACATCGTGTGATAAAATTGAAAAAAAAAAAAAAAAAAACAAACAAACAAACAAAAAAGAAAAAGAAGAAGATACGTACGCGAACGACACTTCAAACCAATGACAACGGAGTCGTGAGAATGCAAAAGTGACAATCGAATTCCATGAAGTTGAATAAAAAATAAACGTACCGCAGTTATTATCGAATCGCATTAATCATAGAACGTTGTTAAAGAAACCAAACGTATATAAAGAAATTATGTCGGACACTACGCTACTGTTACCGAGAAACATTAATCAGCAAATCGTTGTTAGAGAAACAAAGACAAACGTATGGGGAAAAAAGGTATGCCAGACACATAAGACAACATGTATTTTTCGTGTTTTTGTATTTTTTATTATTACGAACCTCCAAATTGTATTATTCCGACGGTTTTGTTATATTCTTTACTTTGATTTGATCAGTCTTGTGTATTGACTCTCTAATAGACTTTACGCCATCAAACGCAGAGGTGTGCGTAGATCGTCGGTCGAATTTTTGTCGCTATTATCTTTTATTCCGTAAGAGCGTTTTTTGTTTTTTTTGTTTTTTTTTTAAATCCGAGCAATAAGCGCGAAAAACACCTCGAAACTCGTAATCACGCGTTTGATCGACATTGCAGACGGAGTATTTAATCCTTTTAACATTCCCGCGCTACTTGGCGCCAAACCGATAGTATATAGCGCACATACGTCGCGCGTTTCATTCATCATGCTGTCGCAATCGCGTTTTTGGCCGATCCGGATATTCGTTTCGTCTGACGCCTCTTCGACACACATGTGTTGTCGCAAAAACCGCAGCACGTCTCGCGCAGAAGACCCACGAGAACGTTCTCCATGTTTGAGAATGTTAGAACTCTCCGTCTCATATAAGTCAAGACGTTGTGTGCGCGCGATTTATACAATTGGTTGTTGTTGTTATGTATCGCAACTGTATACTCTATATGTATGTGTTGCGCGTTACACACACGTCCTCTGAACGAGAAAATATACACACACGTGCGCTCTACATGATGTGATGTATAAATATATATGCATTTTGTCTGCGAAGCGCCTCACTCGAAGCGCCAAATGCTCTTTTTTTTTTTTTGTTTTTGTTTTACCATCATCTCTTGATGCGTTACAGATGGAACTCAACAGCAATCCGATTTCCGTGATTTCCGTGAAGAAGAACTCTGTTAACGGCGATGAAACCACCTTCAAGCAATCACTTGGGTAAGATCACCGATAATAATATTAATAATAATAATAATAACAATATATTAGTTGTTCAAATAATAATATACTTGTGTGTGTCAATTATCAGTTATTGTTATCTATGTAATGTTGTTTTCCCAGTATTTATTGCACGTTCATTCAATGTTTGTCGTTATACTTGCAATTAAATGATTCTAGATTTCTTTTTCAAAAGAAAAACAATGAAAATGTTTATCGGCAAGTTTATCACTAAGCCTCGCCGAGAGAATCGTTTATTGCTCAATCTAAAAAAATTATTCATCACGAAATGTGTGTCAAGGCGTGTGCGATGATTAAACGCGATAATTGAACCAATCTCGCGAATGCACAAAAATCTTTAATTAGCTCCTGCGAGCAAACGCGCGAGCGAAAGATTAATATTATATAAACTGTTTGACTTCACAACTCATCGAGCAATCACAAGGATGATTTCGGAAAAACGACGTTATTATCCGAAATATCACGTGATAACTTAATAATTTCGACTACAACGATTGCAAAATTACTTACTTTTTTTTTTTAGAAAATGCACATGTTGCCCCCACAATAAAACAGCTTTTGTTTGCTTTTCCACATAAGTTCCAAATTAAGACAGATTTATAACGTATGTGGAACGATTGTTAAGTATCTGAAACGAAGTGTAAAAGATAGCGAGTGTCACGTTGCTGTTGTCATTGACAAGTTTTGTTTTTTTCAAAAAAAATCCAAAAAGAAAAAAAAACAAATATCAAACGCTGACTCATTATCGCGCGTTTGTGTGACAGCTCGTCCATTTGCGGCATCGATAACTTCGTTCACGCTCGAGAATCTAATTCTTTTCACACCGAGTCATTATTTTTCAGACTCGAAAATAGAGATGAAAATCACACGTGGAACCGTATCTGGCAAATAAGACGGACGAGCAATTCATAATCCATCTTCCGTATTTAAATTTTGGCTATTTGCAACAGTTGAAGTGTGAGGTTGCCGCAGCCTCGATAATCACCGTGAGCGGTTTACCTTGGCGAGCTGTCGTACAAATACGCTAAATACGTACGAACGAGTCAACGTTTAAACAATTCGTTCTTTCGAGGAATGAAACTACAATGTATACAATGTATCGCGATATAAAATACGTCAAAACGGAAATAATCGGCGAACGTGTGTCGGGACAAATCTCTGTCGCGAATTTTGTTGGACGCGCTATTTCAGACGTTCGCGGGACGTCCGTTGCCAAGTATTGTATTCTATATTTGCGTGATCCAACGTCGTGTCTCATCAGATTCGTTAGTTACAGGGAAGTACATATTCCCGACATGGTAATAAGCGCGTTGCCGCGTTACCTCGTTCGCACGAGTTCGCGCGGTTGTTAACATTAATTGTGGAAATTCGATTATCTCGCTTGAAAATCGCGGCATGCGCGATACATACGTATCCGCCGATTACCATCGTTTTACGTGAAAAAGCAAAACGTGAGACCATCAGGGTCGTTGTTATTAGATGTATATACATATATATGTCTAACGACGACTTAGTTTACAACTGTACTTCCTTCTTTTCTCGACAGCTATATGGAATTTGTTTTGCGCACGTAAAAACTTCGTCCCCGATGATTTAACGTATTAGAAACGTGTTCTTACACACGAAAAAAAAGCTGGTTTCGCAACCAAAAGATTAGTTATTTTATACGTAGATGACAGCAAAAAAAAAAAAAAAAACATTTGTCAATTGTTTATTGAAGTTTTTTCGATTTTTTTACCAACAAAAGAAGGAAAAATCCTTCTCGCTGTCCAAGTTAACAGCAAAATATGTTTGTTTTCGCGATGCATATCGGATACTTTCCGCGATATCTGTACTTCAATACTTTTTATTGCAGAAATGGCGGGACTTACGGAGCTTTCCAGTCAAAGGATCCCATCCTGACCATAGAAAAGAGTGATGACGCTCCCGCCAAAGGCGGGAGTAACGAGCATGGCATCACCGTGCATCACCCGACTTCGTAAGTTTTAAATCAACGCGACCATTAACGGGTTGGCCGAAAGGTGGGGGAGGGTATAATTTCAAACGCGCCGAGATGATTCTAAATGTACAATTGACGACAGAGATACATTGTGTAACAAAAACGTGCGATTTCAACCGACGGAAGTAGTTGATTGTTGCGCTACGATATCCCGATAAAGTATCTAAATCATCGTAGCGTAATCATTAACGATCGTTTTCCGGGAAGAGTCGCATTTTATCGGAATGTCACGTTGTTGTTTTGACCACGGCGGGCTCTTTCTCGACCGTCTATAATTTTCCACCAATTTACAGTCGTGTCGAAATCACCTACGTTCACTTACGTAGATGACAAGTTAATGAAAACACGACCCAAAAGTGACGGAGCGAGGAGAGAAGAAAATTCGGCTGTGTACTTGCGAGAAGCGAGATCGTCTACACGTCGCAGATGGAAAAAGACAAACGCACCCGAAATAAATATCTTGGCAAAAGCGCGCATTGATTCGCGTAATCGCCGCATTTAACACATTATTTTGCGAGAGAATTGCGAACACAATTAAACATTATTTGCGTCGGAAATGCGCGTTGTTTTAGATTGAGTATTGTGCAAAATTTATTCAAACCAAGACGATTTCTCACGGATTTTATTGCGAAGCCGCGATAAAATCGATATTTTCGCTCATCTTGCGAGAACACGACCTCGATCTGCGACAGATAGATATTGTGTAAACTTTGTCGCTGATATGTTGCGATTTATATATGTACACATCTATATACATCTGTATCTGATATTTCAGTCCCGGTATTACATAATTATAAATATACGGTGTTTGTCAACAAAAAACCTGATAGAAAACCAATATTAAGTAAGTCAACATTATTTTGTTACGAGATAAAGCATCGATTATAATTGCAAATTTCGAGTTTCGTGTCCAAGCTGTAAATTGTGTCTCTATATATACAGGGTGTCTGAAAAATTGTGACCAAGCCGAGGTGTGAAGATAGATTAGATTAATCTAAATTGAAAAGTCATTTTGCAAAATTTATGGTTACTGAGTTGCTAATTAATACACGTGACCAATAAGCGTCACGTAAAAAGCGACGGTCCAGACTTTAAGCTTGTATGATTTTTAGTTGTGAAAAAAAATCTCAGCTAATTGCAAGAAGCTGCGTCATACGTCGCTCGCTTGTTTGCTTCTTTTGCTGTTAGGAGATTGTATAAAGTAAATCATTTTTTTTTACAACTGAAAATCATTTTGCGTCTACAGAGTTCTCGTCTCCCACGCGCTCATTGGATCTCATTTATTAATTTCAATAAATATTGCGAATTTTTCAAAATGACTTTTCTGTTCAAATTGACTCGATCTATTTTCACACTCCGGCTTGGTCAAAATTTTTCAGACACCCTGTGTGTATTATATGCAAAATACAAAGTAACCAAACCGGCTGACACAGTTGGACAATACACAAGAGACGAGTTTAACAAACCTCCGGGCGAAATTAAACAAAGATGATTGGCAAGATTCCAGGCAATATTTCTGCCCGTTTTTTCCGGTTTGTTGGGGTTCCTCGCGGATTTTATCGTGCATATATATATATATATATATATATATATATATATATATATATATCTACGCTTTATACGACTTCTATTTGGAATGTACATATTAAAATTTAAACACTCACCGTTCGATTCACAACTCAAAAATTCGCGGTGACCGAATATTTATAGATTTCACGATGCGTGCTTCACGCTGTGATCTGTCTCGCACTATTTTCCGTCAAAACGGAAATAACGCATCGAGTCGAAAATAGAGGTCGAATGCACTAATGGACGATTGGACAACTGCAGGTACCTGGAAACCATGATGCATCTGTTCAAGGGTAACGTCGGTTCGGGAATCTTTGCGTTGGGAGACGCTTTTAAAAATGCCGGATTACTGCTGGCACCTCCGCTGACAATCTTCCTCGGCATCATTTGCGTACACGCTCAACATATTCTCGTACGTATGATTTATTAACGCCGACACATTTTTACAAACAAAATATGTTACGTTTTTCACGGAAAAACACGGAAGTTCGAGTTCGAACTCCTGACCAAGTTGGTTTTGTTTGCTAATGATTTTTCAACTTGTATTCAAACCCAGCATCCGATAGAGAATTTTGAATTAAATTTATAATTCAAATTATAATAAATATGTACTAATTTACGCTCTTTAAAAATATTTCACGTCTACGCAATCCAGCCGTTAATAATAATTTTAATTTTTTTTCGCGCAGATCAAGTGCAACGAGGAGGTGACGCGTCGAGTCGGCGGCGGTTCTGACACGAGCGGATTTGCTGGAACTGTGGAAATGTGCTTTGCCACTGGACCTCTTGGAGTCCGTAAATATTCGGGTGTTATGAGGTGCGTGATAGATGAAAAAAAATAAAAAATAAAAAATAAATAAACAAAGAAAACTAACAAATAAGTAAGAGAAAAAAGTAACAAAAAACACAAGCTCTCGCGCACGTGTGATACTCATTTATTTTCCATTCAAAAATGGTTATACAATCCCAAATGTAAATTATCAAAAAGTTTTTTTTTTTTTTTTTTTTTTTTTATTTTTCTTATTGTTTTAATTATTTTCTACGATTTTGTGTGCCACGTTAGCGCCGCTGCCTATTTATGTTGCTCTCTCTCTGTGATTTTGTTGCAGAAAAATGGTTAATGTGTTTTTGTGTATTACGCAACTTGGATTCTGCTGCGTATATTTCGTTTTTATTTCCACAAACATGAAGCAGGTGAGACATCTCTCCTTCTAATTTTACTTCTTTTGCTTTGTCTTTCCTTCTTCGTATACGAGACCTTCTTATCTCGCAAGAAGTTTCAAAGATCGCTGCAACAGTCGCTTGCAACAGATATAACAATTGTTTATATACCACTTCTAATTGATTTATATAACAATATATTTTGCTTTCTAAAGTATCTTTATTTGAAAAATTTTCTCTTTGTAAAAATTTTCACATAATTATTTTTACATAAAGAGAACAATTTTCGTATGACGCTTTTTTATTTTTTTTACGACAGGTACTGGACGCGCACGGGATCAAGATGGACGTTCACGAGCACATGGCTGTGGTGCTAATTCCAATAATGCTGAGTACATGGATCAGAAATCTCAAGTACCTGGTGCCCGTGTCCTCGATAGCGAATTTCCTGGTGATCGCGGGTTACATAGCCACAATGTACATCATGAGTCACGACGTGCCCGCCATACACGAGAGACGATACGTCGCCGACTGGAACAACTTACCTCTGTTCTTCGGCACTGTGATATATTCCTTCGAGGGCATTACGCTAGTAAATCACCTAGAAACTACCAGATATTTTTTTTTTTTTTTTTTTTTTATATTGAAGGAACAAAAATTTGTAACGCGCACCGATAAATGCAGTGCGAGTTCAAATGGCCAAAAATTTTTTTTATTACAATTATTTAAACTTTTTATTTTCTCTTGACACAAAGTACCGTCTGATCATTTCTATCAATCTGTTTGTTTGTAGGTATTGCCGCTGAAGAACGAAATGAAGAAACCCAAGAATTTTAACAAGCCGCTTGGAGTTCTCAACGTCGGTATGGTAATAGTCGGCGCTATGTTCGTCGCGATGGGATTTCTGTCTTACTTGAAATACGGCGACGACGTCGCCGGTTCCGTCACACTCAACTTGGAACCAAAGAAAATGTAAGCGTATATTTTCATTAATTTATTTTGTCACTGAACCGCTGTGTATCGCTCAATATAAATCACATTGTGTGTATAAACAAATGGCATTTATATAATTGTCATTACACGTATGTATGTGTTGTAACATGCTTTTCTTTTTGTATATTCCAAGGATGGACGGAAAAATCGTCGTTCCTTCAAGGTTTTTATTGAAAAACTTTTCTGGACTTTTGTTGTGTCTGGACTTGATGTGCCTGAAAAATTATTAGCTGAAAATAGTTTTGTCTTGATTTGCAAGAATTTTGAAGAAGCGATGTGCATGCTTCCATTTCACTTGCGCGCATGTTTATTTATTTGATTATGATTGTTTTGAAGCGAATAGCCGATCGTAGTCTGTTTCTTTGCACAAGAACCGATTTAATGAGCATGTGTCTTTGCTAATGAAATTGAACAATGTATCTTGCAGTTTGCCGCAATGCATCAAGATTGCTATCTCTCTGAGCATATTGCTCACGTACGCGTTGCAGTTTTACGTTCCGATCGCCATAATGTGGCCCAGTATTGTCAGACGATTCGGTCCCTTCAGATGGCCTTCAATCGCAGAGATCACTTTCCGATCCATCATGTGTTTTATCACGTGTGAGTATTTCAGATCGACACACTTTATTACGTACATATTATTTTTTATCGTTATATGTACACGTGTAAATTAATGATGTTTTAATATATATTTTTGTATTTTATTTTCTCAGTTGTATTGGCGGAGGCGATACCGAAACTGGGTCTCTTCATATCTCTGGTCGGCGCTGTTAGCAGCACCGCGCTCGCCCTTGTGTTCCCGCCGATCATCGAGATGATCGTCTACTGGCACAACAATATCAGTTTCTTCACGATCGCGAAGGACGTGGCGATAATACTGATCGGCGTCCTCGGTTTCGCGACCGGCACGTACGAGAGCGTGACATCGATCATCAAGTCGTTCAGCACATGAGATTCTCAAAGAAAGCAAACAAAAATACGCTTCGTACAAATATAATCCCCTATCAATTTCTCTCTTGTGAACGCGCGCGCGCGGTTTAAATGAACCATGACATCCACGGTAACTTCCACGCGCGCAAGGAAATCTACACACTTTGTGAATCCAAATTTTGCGTGCTAATAGATGATGACAATTACGTTGCGGTCAATCGTATTCTATACTGTATATATATATATATACACACACAAATATATATATATATGTATATATATATATATATTTGTATGTATAGATAATAATAAATAATTTATGTGTGATATTGATAGCCGTAGACGTAGCTGATAAGGTATAACGCAGGTTGTGGATGCCAGTGTGATCGTTATTAATAGATTTTATCGATAATAACAATCCGATATTCGATCAATGCAAAATCGTACTAATTAATACAAAATTGAATTAATTTTTGTGTGTCGTTCAGACACATCGAGTTTTACTTATGCGTTCACTAAATTTGTTCACTAAGTTTAGGCTTCCACCCGTAGTAATATAAAAACTCAAATATAATACGTAGAGTCTATATGTATATGCGCGCGACGTAAAATAATATATAACGTAAAACCAAAAAAAAAAAAAAAAAAAACAAACAAACAAGAATATCGACTTTTCTTTTACACGCGCAGCTTTAGCGACGGAGCGCTGCGAGTTTTCCGATAGCATACATAGTGTTCGTTACATGTATCGTTTCTTATTTTACTTCCGCATTTTACTATGCGAAAGTGGCAGTTTTAACTGGCAGGATGTCGAATATTGAAGTATAATACAACAATTTCCACGTGCGCTGTGAAACTATTGTTTGTAAAAAACAATTGTGTATCGACAAAAATAGAAAATGTATTCGTCTTTTAGAAACAAAAAAAAAGCAATTAAAGACAGTCAAATCGTTTTGACACGATTATTGCACGTTGCTGCAAAGAAAAAACGATAATTACACGTATCAAGTGCCAAAACTACTTTTTCTGCGTTTAATTCTCGCGCGGATGATAATCGTTATTTTATTTAATCAGATTTATGCAACACGAGCGTCGTAATTGTACATATATTTATTTATGTATATCTCAGGCCTAGTCTCATCGATATTGATTAAACATTATTGCTTAATTTCCATTTCTGTATCTGCTTTTGCGAGGTGTCAGATCTGGAAGGAGACTAATTCTCGGCGTGATCGTTGTTTCTCAATAAGACAACGCAAGACGTACAACAAGCAGACAACCGTGCGCGAACAATTTGTAAATTTATATTATTATTAAGAATAACAAAAATTCACTTTTTATTATATTTTTTATATATAAAATTATTGCGGCTTGTGATTTGCGAAAAACTTATATATCCAATGATAAAACAAACATGGCATCTTGAAAAAAACTGAAGTACCAATTGTGCACAATTTCGATACCCCCTAATATCAACTGTATATGTAAATCACTCTTCCCTATCAATTTACTTTCAACTCTGTTCGTCGATTTTTTTATATCGTACAAATTTATCACGTCGCGGAGCGTGATATATTTTTGGATACATGTTACATATGATATCATATATTTTATTAATATTATTATTATTATATATAAGATACTTTGATTTAAAACCGCTGACGTATAGAAAACTGGTTTTTTTCTCGGAAAACATGGAAGTTTTGAAAAACCGAAATCAAAATCCGATTATTTTCTTCACAATGTAATTAACGTGATGTGTACACTCGTGTGTTGAATGTCATTCTCAAATTCAAAGTAAACAGAGAAAATACTCGATAAACTATAAGATATTGCGATCGTTGTTTTGATGGCTGATATTTATTTTGCGCCCTGTGTCATCAGAGTACAAATACCTGCTCAGGGAAATTTATATATATACGCATATATTTTTTTCCTTTTCTTTAATATATTTAATAGAACTGTACAAAAGACAAATCTTCCTCGGATGAGTCGAGGCTGACAGAGGAGAAACAAAGATATCAATAAACATGTGGCGCTACGAATTGTCTATTCATGTACCATGTGTTTCCGCACTGAACAATCACGATTGATTCGTCTTGCTGATTTTCTTCTATAGAAAATACGACGCGTGATTTTATTTATAATTAACATTTAAAAAGTTTCGGGATAACGAAAAAAATTATTTTCTCCGTGTTTCCTAAGTAGATAAAATTCAAATCTCAAACATGGGAGAGTGAGAAATCAAATCTCTCCTCTTTCGCTTCAGTAAGTAAATCGCATTTGTAATACTTTCATGTATTTTGTGAAAATATTGCGCAAAGTAGAATACTTGCAAGCGTTATCATCTACACAACAGCACTGTGTTTGAACGAAAAAGATAATTTTCTTCACGAGCAAATTTACATTTGTTTTTCTGGAATTTGCAAAAGTTCTGAATTGCATTTGTATATATATACATCTTTAAATTTGCATATTTGTAAATTTTTTACGTATCAGCGTGTTCTGTTGAATTTTTTTGTTGAAGCGACCGGCGTATTCTAAAGCGACAAAAGGTCGCTTGCAAGCAACAACTCAATCAAACTGCGAGAATAAAATTTATCGAAACTGCAAATAAAAATGAAATCGTGTGATACACACGAGCTTTACTTCGATATTACTGGCAATACTAAAAATATACAATCTATGTCACGTAACTTGTAGATTTTCAGTATCGATAATAACAAAACGCAGCTGCCGGTTATTAAAAGGACATAAATTAAAAAACCGTCGATGCGGCAGTACCGATACCGATTTGTCCGCGTACTGTCAACAAGAAATCGAATCGGAAAGAAACACTCGCCCAAAAATACATGTAAATAATAATTAATAATTAAAAAGTAAAACTCGTTACTTTGTATAACACTTGAAAGTATTGACTTTTATGTTTACGAAATAACATTATTGCGTTGTTGTTTCCGTTAACTGTACGTTTTTCATACAAAGTGGATGACGCACTTTCGAAAAGTTTTTCAAACTTTTATACTTGTTGTTTTATAATTGCATTACATGCATCGCAACATTTAAATGTTAGCTGCTAAAATTTACGACCTGTGTAACTTCTATTTACAGATTCTAGTTTTTACCACGTACAGATACATTAACTTGCAGAAAGTTATTTACAAAACGTGTTAAAGATTCAATCAAACAAAAGTTCTCCATAAAATGATCTGAAGTCCGATAAAAACGACGTTTTCGGTTTCCTTACACAAACAATACGAGCTAAATTTACACATGAAGAGTTACAACGATTTTGTAAATCACACAATTTACTCTATTAAAACGTTCCAAGATTATCCAAAACTTAAACAACTTTATTGAATATAATACTGCACTTCCCAGTAGTGCAGGTGTTGAACGAGTATTCATCTCGAAGAAATAGTACTAATACCACAAAAAGGTCGTCCACATGATGATATGATAAATCATCAACTTTTATTAAAAATAAACTAGATGTATTTTTAAAATTGTATTTTTAAAAGAAATGAATCTGTAAGAAAAATCTCTAACAAAAAGAACATATCTTTAACAAAATGTCGCTAAAAAAAATTTTATTTTATGCTTTTTTCTCTACCGTTTTTTTAGATGTAAAAAAAATGTCGAATATACTTTTTTTGTAATCACGTGTTTTATACTTTGACTTATAATTCATAAAACATATAAAAACGTCTTAAATTAGCATCGAAAAAACATCTTTACGGCACTAAAACAACTCAAAGATGTCACGAAGATATTTTTTACATATGCGTACAGTAAACATATTTTACTTGCTTTTCCAAAAAGCGATAACGTTTACTTTTTATCATTACTAATAAGTACCGATAAAGAGTTACTTTTTTGAATAGATAACGAAGAAGGAGAACGCGTTATTTTTTACACGTAATATTTTTACTTCTACTATGTGTGAGGTACTTGGTAAACATTAGAAACAGTTGTTTTGTGATCGCGATCATACGAGCATCGCGTTTCTAAAAGAGGTAATACGAACAGGGAAAAAAATGTTTTTCTAGAATAGCAAGAAATTAGTTACTATGTGGCTAGCAAAAACCACTTGTTACGATTAGTAAAATTTTTGTTTTGCCAACAAAACATTTTGTTGATGATACAAAAAATTTCGTAGGATCAACCATTTTTCTTGCTGACTATATATTAGCAAAACTTTTATTTTTCGTGTAATGAGACAATTTCCACCTTTGCGGACATGATATCACTTTGTCCGTTGTGACCTTTGTAAATTCATAAATTTCGAAAAATTATTATTAATGGTTTTTTTTACATACACCAATTTCTTTTTAACCTTGCCTGACAATTGTGTATTGTGTTACACAAACACCAAATTTTAACCTTCGAAGAAACGTGCAGGTGTATCCGCACGTTTTTTTCACTATATCTTTTAATGGCACATGTGTCACTATCAATAAAAAACTAACGATCAGTATCACACGCCAACATCAAGAAAAATAAAGCACTGTTTAAAACTAGCTGTTTATTGCTATTTACTAATGTTTATTGTGTTTTTCATTATACAATGTGTTTGGAACATAGTTCACAATATTTCGGATAGTGATTAAGGCATGAAAACGAAAGAAAAGAGCTACATACATAAGTGGAAAAGAATCGTTTTCTCCTTATAGCCACATTAACGTCCGCTTTGGCATCTACCTACTTTTTAAGTTTTTATTTTCTCAATTCTACTTGTTTTTGAATTTTTTACTGTTGTAAATACGATTGCATTATCTTTAAATGTAGTTAACACAAGAAAATTTGAAACGCGCGTTTGTCACCGCGGGGTAATAATGACCACTAGATTGTCTATTGGCGTAGACACGTCGCGATGACAAAACGCGAGTTACAAAACGTTATGTGTAAACCAGATCTTACATTCAAATATAACGACAAACAAGTATTTAAATCGAATTAAATATATTGTTTGAAATGATGATTTTCAGCATGCATGCAGCATCTTATTCTTCTACCAAAACAGTGCAAAATGAAATTATTCGTGATAAATCACAATGAAAAAAACTTATGATCATTATGATTATGAGTAAAAAAAGTACACTAAATTTTTGTAACATAAAAGTACCTATACTTCGAAACATCTTATTTACCAAACTATGGTTATATTTTATATTCTTAACTTTCGATCTTTAATCATTTCTAAAGTATTGCGAGCGATTTTTCGAACATCCTGTATATAAGATAATATTTGTAAATTTACGAAAAGAAATAACAATTGTAATAAAAAATATATATAGTGTCACGACTAAAGAGTGTTTTGTTCAGTAAATAAGTGATCTGTCAAACAACAGAGCTTAGTTTAACAACTTTATTAACTGCATTTGATATTTGCACATAAGATATAATCTAGTTAACCCTTAATGACCATTATTAATTTATTAATCTTGATATAGTTTGAGGTGACGTAATCTTTGATCTCACACACGTATACTTTTTGAGAATCAACTATCTCAATCTTGATTTCTCTTCCATATAGTTGTGGAAGGTGAAACACATGGTAAGTGAAACACACATGCTATTTTTATATGTTTAAAAAAACAAAAATGTGTCTAAAAGCAAGAAGTAATTGCATAGTGTGACAATTTAAACACAAAGACAACTAACTGGCCCAAACCACAAGTCACCTCTGTTGTGTATTTATGTAATTGAACAATTGATCAACAACCTTATTATCGACAGATTGACAGCAATGAAAATTATTCTAATTTTTGGCAGGAATCTCGCGACTTTACCGTAGAAAATAATGTTTATAAAGGACCGGTGGTTTATAACACAAATGTCTATAAAAACCTCGGACATATGATATGGGATAAACTTAATAGTTATGGAGATACCATTGCACGTGTAAGTCCATTTGTCTCTTCATTTTTATTGTATGTATACATACAAGTGAATACCCATCTAGCGGCTAAAACCTTTTTATTTCGCTAAAACAACCGTAAAAACTGCGTACGACCGACACGATTTCCGTATTTTTAATATCATTGCAGATAGATGCGCAAACGGAAGAAACGATCACTTATAAAGAACTACAAGTCAAAACTGTAAAATGCGCGTTGTGGTTGAAACAACAAGGAATCGGACGCGACGATGTCGTCAGCATATGCTGCCCCAGCCACATGAATTCTATTGTGCCGTGTTTATCAGCGACGTACGTTGCTGCGATTTTTAACGGAATGGACGAAGACATGGATTTGCGTAAGTATAATATGCTTCCATCACAGTAAAAAGTATAATCGCAAAATGTAAAAACAAACTTTTGTATACGATTTGTATGCTGCACCTTATTTTCAGCAACCGCGTTGCATTGCATAAAACTGATTAAGCCGAAGGCGATTTTCTGCACCGCGAAGCCTTTAAATGTAATTCGTACCGCGGTAACAGAGGCAAATTACAACATCAAAGTAGTAGTTTTCGACGATAATTCTGACGAGTTTTCGTTCTCTGATATCCTGAACGGTTACACCGATGCGGAAATAGCAAATTTCCGATATGTCGAGCACGACATCTTAAAACAAACTGCTTGCATTGTGCATTCGTCCGGCACCATAAATATGCCAAAAGGAGTCGAATTGTCCAATTCCACTTTGATGAACTTGGCTATAAACAAAACTATAAACATGAAAAATTCAGTGTCGTTTTGGTTCACGTCTCTTTATTGGATTACCGGAGTATCTCTGAATTTGAGAGCGATCGCGCACGGCGCCAATGTGCTTTTGTACCCGGTATTCGACGAGGAAATGACATGCGTGATAATCGAAAAGTACAAGGTGAAAGAACTGAGAAGAGTGGCGAAAAATAACGATGCTTAACTAAATACTTCATGTTATCTTGATAGTTTCTTATTTGTGGAAGATGCTTTTTCTAGAAATAAGTATAGCGTTTTGCTATAACCAATATGTAATAACAATAAATATAACCAATATGTAATAACAATAATAACAATAATGATAACAATAAAAATACATGTAAGTAATAATTAATAATTTGAAACTAAAAATCGTTATAATTTGTCTAACTCTTGTAAGTATTGATTTTTATGTTTAAGAAATAACAGTATTACGTTGATGTTTACGTTAACTGTACGTTTTTCAAGCAAAGTAGATGACGCACTTTCGAAAATATTTTGAACATTTTATAATTGTTGTTTTATAATTGCATTACATGCATTGCAATTTTTAAATGTTTGAGTCATAAATTATATATGTTCACAATATAAAATGTACAATTTTGCTATGCAAAGTACACATTACAATAATTCTGTAAGTATGTCATTTGCAAAACACAACACAATCATTTTTGGTACTATTGCTTTAGGTAAACATATTGTATTTAAGCACGAGTATGATGACTCGATTTCTCAAGGCCGGTTATATAAAAAACTATTCATTACCGTCTTTGAGAAGTATAATTAATGGTGGCGCGATTCTTAAGTCGAGTGTGCAGGAGGATCTGAAGAATCTGTTACCGCACGTCAATATACTTCAATCCTACGGTATTATTTAAATCAACTATTAGCGGTGTGTAGAATGCGACGTGTCTGACGTTGCAAATTGTTACGGTGAATTTTACGTTCTATAGGTATGACGGAGTTCGGTGGAAGCATAACATTACAAAAACCATATCATAAGAGCGGATCTTCTGGCGTGGTGATCGATAATGTGCAACTAAAGATCGTTGATTCAGACACCGGCAAGGTTCTGGGTCCGAATCAGTCGGGTGAGATATGGGTGAAATCGCCAAACATGATAATCCGCTATTACAATAATCCTGAAGAGACGAAAAGAACGATTGACGAAGACGGTGAGAAAACATAAGATATACGAATCACTTGTTTAAAAGAGTGATCTGATAAAAGTACACTGATCGGCGCTAAATCGTTCCGCGCAAGAAGAAGTTTCGTTTAACAGAATAGTTTGTTTCAAACGACTGACAACACTCAAAAAACAACGAAGCGAAAAGGAAAACTTTTCTTCTTTTTCCGCGTGAAAAGATTCAGTGCTAGATTATTACGTAATTATACTATTATATTATATTTACTACTACTCCGTACTAATACTTGTTCCAGGTTGGTTTCACACAGGTGACATCGGGTATGTCGACGTAGACGGTGAATTGTTTATTTTGGACAGAATAAAAGACATTATAAAGTACAAAATGTATCCACTCTCACCCAGTGAAATCGAAGCGGTATTAAGTAGACATCCAGCGGTTCGCGAAGTCGCGGTAGTGGGAGTGCCGCACGATCTCGACACCACTCATCCGCTTGCTTTCGTTACCAAAAAGCCCGACGCTAAGGTGCGATATCACTGCGCATATGGCAAATTTACATAAAACAAAATTTGCTTCCATTAAAAATAAAAGAGGTCGACAAATGTGCTTTGAAATAGTTAATATTTGCGTTAATGTTGCTGAAGTATAATAGACTTATATATGTTGTAGGTGACGGAAGAGGATTTAATCAATTACGTGGCGAACAACATGACGGATTATTACAAACTTCGTGCTGGTGTCATATTTCTGGATAAATTTCCATATACAGGATCTGGGAAAATTTCAAAGAAAGAAGTGAATGCAATGGCAAAAAAACTAACTGTAAACGGCCAAGTTAAACAAACGTAGTTCAGATGAAAGTACTTTCTTAATCGAGAATTAATACTTTATTTCTAATTTAAAAACTAAAGTAAGTAATGATCGATATAAGAATACAGATTTTGATGTTCGGTTCTTGTTAATTAAGTATAAATATGAATGTCACCACTATACAACATTTTACTTTAGAGTTGAGTTATTATCAAGCACAGTATAAAAAAAACGGTAAATGTAATGTCAATATGAAAAAACAAGATTTAAAATAACCGTTGTGAACAAAATTTGCCTTACTTATTTATTCCCTTTTTTTTTTTTTTTTTAACGAGGAGAAATCCTTGATGGACACCTCCATTCTCGGGGGAGAGTGGGGGTAGTGTGGGACTCCCCAAAGAGGGGTTACTCACTAAAATTCCTCGGCGGTCCTCCGACACTCAGGAGGGAGCCTGGAAAACCCGAAGGCTATGACTTCGCGGCTCCCTCCCTTATGCATGTTCTGAGGGAAGATGGTAACAGTTCATCTTCTTTCAACCTCCAACTAGGTGAAGAAGTGGGACCACCACACTTCTCCACCTAGCTCCATAGGTTACGTGCAATGGCAGGAGGGAGCCCCCGCTACCTTTCGCCTGTAACCCCGAATTCTTCTCTCCCCCGCCTGCTGTGGGGTAGTCTTAGAGACATCCCAACGAGACGAGAGAGGGAAAGAATCCACCTCTTCACTTGCAGCTAAGTGCAGGTTCTTTGCGGCCTAATCTCCCTCCGAGGAGGGAGTTGCCGCACGGTACCGTCTCCTGCCAGCTGGCTGCCCTTGCCGCAGCCGCTCTGCTTCCGCCTTGGCTTGCATGACGAGGTCACAAAATTTCGTCACCGCTCGCCATTTCTCCTGGTCTCTCACCATCTGTCTAACGACAGATGGCAGGGAGAGGTCCTGGCCTACCACGAAGGTGAGCGTTGCTCTCTCCTCCTCCCACGCTGGACATTCCTCCAACGTGTGAGCCGCAGAGTCGAAGTCCGAGTCGCAGTGCTCACACGCTGGAGAGTCCGCCTTCCCTATCCGATGGAGGAAATTGCCGAACACTCCATGCTCCGTTAGGATCTGGGTGGTGCCAAAAGTAAGATACCCGTGGCAGCAATCCACCCAGTCCGGGAGCACAGGGCCCACGGCTTCCCTTACTTTCCTACCGGGCAAAAGAGGATTCTGTATCCTCTTCTGCCACCTGACCACAGTGGCCCTGAAGGCTCGAGCGCGGACGCGACTGATGTCCACGGGATTGTCATAATCCCGTGCGTCCGCCCTCAGCTCTCTTACGTCTGCATCGACGCGAGCTAACTGCTCCGCCACTAACTCTACTGGCGGAATGCGTGCCAGTACTCTTACTGCCTCCAGGGCCACCGTGCGGTAACACTGCGCTACCCTACCCCCAATCACGCGCTGCACTGCAGCGAGGGGAGCCGACGCCCGGCCCACTCCTGATGCACGGGACCATACCGGTGCCCCGTACATCATGACAGAGTGGACCACGTTGGCGTAAAGGCGCCTTACCCCCGGCCGAGAACCCCCCAGATTCGGCAACAGGCCAGCGAGAGCTCGGGCCACCCGCATGGCCTTAGCCGCCACGTACGCGAAGTGGGTTTTGAAGTCCCACTTCGCGTCAACTTGGAGCCCCAAGTACTTCATGGCCGGTTGGGATACCACTTGGGTATTCCCAACCGGCACCGTCACCTGCCTGTCTCCCCGGCCTGGTACTCGGAAAACGACCACCTCGGTTTTGGCCGGGGCTAGACCGAGGCCGAGCGTCGCCTGTCGCCGCTCCACCGCCACGAGCGCCACCACCGCGCGGCGCATACTTATTTATTCCCTAAATTAAATTTGCATGGTATAGAAATCATTTATTTGTTATCATTAGTACTTTTTGATACGGCGGATGTGCTCGCAAATGTGCTATTACAATATAAAACATTTTCCTTGCAATAGTACTTAACTTAATTTTTAATGGTTTGTTGCGTAATCTAAAAAAAGTATGAAACACAAAACAATCGGTACACATAAATATTTTTAACATAACAATTTTCATCATCAATGACTATTGGTGATCGAAAGTTTCTATCTTAGCCAAATTCAAAAATAAATCGCGTTATGTTTGTCAAATAAAAAACAAATAAAACGTCACTTGAAAGCTCAATTTTTGCGTATAACTTCTTTAATATCTGTGGTATACAAAGCAAAATTTAACTGCGCAATTTCTTATGCAATACATGAAATGCACGCATGAAACTTTGATAACGTTTATATACTTATTATACTTGTAATTGTAACGTACTATCTAACGTCCCTTATCGTAATCTTTGAAAGTGCAGTTGAAATACTTACGTAGATCGCACTTATAAGTATACAATATACGCAATCATCAGTAGTTATAACATATAATTAGCATGTGGCGTTGTCACTTTATTGTTGCACAATACAGTATAGACTGTAAATGTAGAGTGACACAATCATCGAGTCATGCCATTTAAATCAGACAATAGTTTCGGATCACTTGACATTTTATTTTGATAAATATTATATTTTATGCTAAATGACATGCATCCTTAAATTTATATTTATATATTCTTAAAAGCGTTTCCAATCATCACTTGTTTCTTTTTTGGCGAGTATAAGATGACACAGAAACTTGATTAAAGTTTACTAAATCAAAAATTCTGAAAAAAACATATCGAGTTTATATATATGTTTTTATGCTAGACATAAAATTTTTTTAAGTTTTGTTACAGTTTTCGATGAATTTAAAAATAAAGATGAAATGTAATTCGTAAAATTTCATAACGTAGATGATTTGGTAAATACGACTACGAGTGATGCAAAAACTACAGTTACGTACGATTGTATAACTTTACTACATCATAGATGTGTTACTCCCACTTTCGTCGAAGTGAGAGTTTCCGAAGAAGCCTTTGATATAAAAAAGAGTACAGAATGATATTTGAGAAATTCCAACAATTGTAGTTTAAACAAAATCAATTCACACAAATAGCTGTTAAAAGTTACGACCTGTGTAACGTATATTTACAGATTCTTGTTTTTATTAGGTAAAGAGACATTAATTTGCAGAAAGTTATTTAGAAAACGTGTTAAAGATTCAATCAAACGAAAGTTCTTCACAAAATAATCTGAAGTCCGATGAAAACGATGACGTTTTCGGTTTCTTTACACAAACAACACAAGCTAAATTTACACAAGAAGAGTTACAACGATTTTGTAAATCACACAATTTACTTTATTGAAACGTTCCAAGATTATCCAAAACTTAAACAAGTCTATCGAATATAATATTGCACTTCTCAGTAGTGCAGCTGTTGAACGAGTATTCATCTCGAAGGAATAGTACTAATACCACAAAAAGGTCGTCCACATGATGATATGATAAATCATCAACTTTTATTAAAAATAAACTAGATGTATTTTTAAAATTGTATTTTTAAAAGAAATGAATCTGTAAGAAAAATCTCTAACAAAAAGAACATATCTTTAACAAAATGTCGCTAAAAAAAATTTTATTTTATGCTTTTTTCTCTACCGTTTTTTTAGATGTAAAAAAAATGTCGAATATACTTTTTTTGTAATCACGTGTTTTATACTTTGACTTATAATTCATAAAACATATAAAAACGTCTTAAATTAGCATCGAAAAAACATCTTTACGGCACTAAAACAACTCAAAGATGTCACGAAGATATTTTTTACATATGCGTACAGTAAACATATTTTACTTGCTTTTCCAAAAAGCGATAACGTTTACTTTTTATCATTACTAATAAGTACCGATAAAGAGTTACTTTTTTGAATAGATAACGAAGAACGATTACGCGTTATTTTTTACACGTAATATTTTTACTTCTACTATGTGTGAGGTACTTGGTAAAAATTAGAAACAGTTGTTTTGTGATCGCGATCATACGAGCATCGTGTTTCTAAAAAAGGTAATACGTACACGGAAAAAAATGTTTTTCTAGAATAGCAAGAAATTAGTTACTATATGGCCAGCAAAAACCATTTATTAAGATTAGTACAATTTTTGTTTTGCCAACAAAACCTTTTGTTGAGGAAACAAAAACTTTTGTAGGATCAACCATTTTTCTTGCTAACCATATAATAGCAAAACTTTTTTTTTCTGTGTAATGAGACAGTTTTTATCTTTGCGCACATAATAACTCTTCGTTTGTTGTGATCTTTGTAAGTTCATAAATTTCGAAAAATTATTATTAATAGGTATTTTTTACATGAACAAATTACTTTCTAACCTTACCTGACAATTGTGTATTGTGTTACACAAGCATCAAATTTTAAGATTTGAAGAAACGTGCAGGTATATCCGCACGGTTTTTTAAATATATCTTTTAATGGCACATGTGTCACTTTCAACAACGCACGATCACTATTACACGCCAACATCAAGAAAAATAAAGCACTGTTTAAAACTAGCAATGTTTATTGTATTTCTCATTATACAAGGTGTTTGGAACATCGTTCACAATATTTCGGGTAGTGAGTAAGGCATGAAAACGAAGGAAAAAGCTACATACACAAGTGGAAAAGAATCGTTTTTTCTTTATAGCCACATTAACGTCCGCTTTGGCATCTCCCTTTATTTAAGTTTTTAATTTCTCAATTCTATTTGTTTTTTAATTTTTCAATATTGTAAATACAATTGCATTATCTTTAGATTTAGTTTACACAAGGTGTTTTGCAACGCGTGTTTATCAACGCGAGGTAATAATGACCACTGAATTGCTTATTGGAGTACATACGTCGCGATGATAAAACCGCTAGTTACAAAACATGTGGAAACCAGATCTTACATTCAAATATAAGCAAAAATAAGTATTTAAATCGAAGTAAATATATTGTTCGAAATAAGTATTTTCAGCATGCACGCAGGCTCTTATTCTTCTATCAAAACAGTTCGAAATGAAATTATTCGTAATAAATCACAATGAAAAAAACTTATGATCATTATGAGTATGATTATGAA